CTGAAGCTCACATTAGACATGTCTTTCATAGACAGTTCATCAGACACTCTCATCTTAGACAAGTTCATCAAACACTCACATTAGACAAGATTATCAAACCCCATACTACATTAGACAAGTTCATCAGACGCTCTCATTAGACAGTTCATCATCAAACGTCCACATTAGACAAGTCCATCAGACACTCACATTAGACAATGTTATGTGACGCTCTCATTAGACAAGTCCATCATTACATTAAACAAGTCTATCAGACGCTCACATTCGACAAGTTGATCTGAAGCTCTCATCATTAGACAAGTACATTAAAACAAGTCATTAGACAATCAGACACTCTCATTAGACAAGTCCATCAGACGCTCTCATTAGACAAGTCCATCTGACACTCTCAATAGACAAGTCCATCAGACGCTCTCATTAGACAAGTCCATCTGACACTCTCATTAGACAAGTCTATCAGACGCTCTCATTAGACAATGTTATTTGACGCTCTCATTAGACAAGTACATTAAAACAAGTCTATCAGACATTAGACAAGTCATCAGACGCTTCGACAAGTTGATCTGAAGCTCTCATTAGACAAGTACATCAGACACTCACATTAGACAAGTACATTAAAACAAGTCTATCAGATGCTCACATTCGACAAGTCTATCAGACGCTCACATTAGACAAGTTAATCAAACCCCCATACTACATTAGACAAGTCCATTAAACGCTCTCATTAGACAAGTCCATCTGACGCTCTCAATAGACAAGTCCATCAGACGCTCTCATTAGACAAGTCCATCTGACACTCTCAATAGACAAGTCTATCAGACGCTCACATTAGACAAGTCTATCAGACGCTCTCATAAGACAGGTCTATCAGACGCTCTCATTAGACAAGTCCATCAGACGCTCTCATTAGACAAGTCCATCAGACGCTCTCATTAGACAAGTCCATCTGACACTCTCATTAGACAAGTCCATCAGACGCTCTCATTAGACAAGTCCATCTGACACTCTCATTAGACAAGTCCATCAGACGCTCTCATTAGACAAGTCCATCTGACTCTCTCATTAGACAAGCGGAGAAACTCCAACAACTTGCGGCATGTAAGCATTGGAAGTGTGTGTAAACAACTTAAGATATCAAACGTTTCACTTATCCCTGGAAGATGTCGCCACCAAATGTCCAACATCCACCTCTCCACCTGATCACCAAACCTGGTCTGTAGAGTCCCCCTTACATGGAATCACCCTGTTCCTAGATGACATAAACACTGGCATTATTCCCTGTTCCATAGATGACATAAACACTGGCTTTATTCCCTGTTCCACAGATGACATAAACGCTGGCTTTATTCCCTGTTCCAGATGACATAAACGCTGGCTTTATTCCCTGTTCCACATATGACATAAACGCTGGCTTTATTCCCTGTTCCAGATGACATAAACACTGGCTTTATTCCCTGTTCCAGATGACATAAACGCTTGCTTTATTCCCTGTTCCACAGATGGCATAAACACTGGCTTTATTCCCTGTTCCAGATGACATAAACGCTTGCTTTATTCCCTGTTCCAGAGATGACATAAACGCTGGCTTTATTCCCTGTTCCATAGATGACATAAACACTGGCTTTATTCCCTGTTCCAGAGATGACATAAACACTGGCTTTATTCCCTGTTCCAGATGACATAAACACTAGCTGTATTCCCTGTTGCAGATGAAGGGCTAGGCCTGGAGCTCCGGCAGCAAGTGTCCACCTCCCCGTACATACGGGAGCTGCACGAAGAATAAATAAGTTCATTGCCGCAAAACTCTACTGTTAGTTCTTATTTAAGCGCCTTAGAGTGATGTAGCTGCTCATCAAATATGCGCTATATAAATTTGTATATTATTATTATTTTATTTACTCACGCGCACAATTCTATCACAAACGAGAGTTTTTCTCAACCAAAGCAGTGAACAGCCTAGTTGCTGCTGAATTGCTGTGCGCAGAGTTCGGTCTCTTCTACGTACAAAGATTCGCAGATCCCAGGCTGGTCGAATGTCTCAACATACATGTGTACTAATTTCGATGTAGATTTATAAAAAACGCATATGAAGCTGTCTACAAAGCATACCATGGGAATGTTAATTCCTCTGTAATAATTTAGAAAATCCATTCCCCGAGCCTTGTGATTCAACATTCTAATGAATTAATTAATGAATATATTGATGAGGAGTGTACGGGCGGATGGGTTCACTGGGACGTCATACTTTTTCGCTAAACAGAGTTGCGTCCCTTGAACATGTCACCGCTCGTAAATTTATCAGTATGCGTCAAACAATCATTGCTTCCATTTTAGCGTTAAAGGGATTAATGACCTGCGTAATTACCTTAGTAACCTTTACTATGCACAGGGGCCTACAGATCTCTTTATCAAATTGTTAACTCAAAGTAACCCCCAAAATATTAAATGTATTTGTACTGTAATAAGAACCATGTATTTTAGACGCCAATTATTTCTGTGATTTTATGATAGTGTCTCATAAGCCAAAAAATGGATGGTTGTTAAGATTTTTTACTTATGCAATAATCATGATTTTATACTGTATTCTTAACTTGTGACACTCTATTTCTGTCTGTCTGATGTGACTTGCGCCACTATAGGGATTAATCCCGTACTACCCAAACACCCCTAGAGCGAAATTTTCAAAGCGAAGTTAAACCACTCAGTCAATGACTCACTTATTCAAACAATGATATTGATATCATAATTAGTGAACACTATCCTATCGTATTAGATTGTGAACTTTCAAACCAAATTGAATACACGAGATCCAGCTAATCCGCAGCGTGACCCTCGTCGAAACCTGACATATCTTCCACACAATCAAGGTAGTCTAGTGGTAAAAGCGTTCGCTCGTAACGCCTTAGAACATGGATCGAATCCCATCATGGATAATGTGTCAGGCCCATTTCTGGCCTCCCTCGCCGTGATATTGCTGGAACATTGCTTACAACGGCGTAAACCTAAACTCACTCACTCGCTCCTCACTGTCCAGTTGAGCCTTGTAAAGTCTTCAAAATTACCCTCCTTTTTCCGGCGGCATGCACACCTAAACTAAGTTAAACATATGTTGCACCTTATTACCATATTTCACACCATCAAACCTGTCCCAAATGGGTAGTGGATTGGCTCCGTGATCTCATGTCCGGTGTGGATGGTCCCCGAGTGCGTCACACCAAAACGCGTTAGATGATACGTGTTGTTTCCCTGGCTGTCGCTCGGCACTGACGGATATTAAACGAGAGCCAGCTGGCCCCGGAGTCAGTATATTGGGTCTGAGTAGTGCATCCATGTTAAACTGCGATATAGTATCTCAGTTGGCAAACAACATAACTAGTATCAGTACCAGTAACACACACGCACGCACGCACGCACGCATACATGTACAAACCACCGCATGCTCGTACGCACGCACGCACCCCCTTTCCATATTTGTACAATAATCTTGAACACGACGTTTAACCTCTTTTCGCCTCAGCGGACATGAATATGCAACAGTGAAGCGCATATTTCAGACAGATCATAATACTTTTTAGTTAAATAACTGAAAACTACTCAGTAAATGGTAACTCAGCTAGAATTGCAGTAATTAACAACAGACTCTTGCCGCAAACTTACACATGCCTCCACAAAAAACTCAATATTGAGATAATTTATTTAGCAATGCTGCAGTTGTAGCAACATAGCATGACCTTTAGACTAAACCCTGACCTTTAGTTCGGAATTCACGTGAACGTGATGGTGATGGGATTACTTACAATTACCATATCGTATGTACCCTAGCATATGCAGTGATAGTTTGATAGTAAGTGGGTACGAGATGCATTCAGTACATAATATGCTTCTGTCAGATGGTGACAGCGACCGACCAATAGCGAAAGGTCACTCATTCACAATCGGCTTTATCGTAACCGTATTCATTGTTGGGTAAAGATAATGGTGATATCTTATCACGCTACCTTTCGAACCTATTGACTGGTTGAACCGGGTGTATCCAATATCAACACATGTTCTAATATGAAATCTCAAAAACGTCTCACACCCCCTGTCCGATATAGTCCGACTTGTTCTGTAGGCAAGACAGTTGGGATACAGAGCAATGTCGAACTGAAGCAATCTACTCACAGGCCTGGTTGTCTGGGGACATTGATATGCAGATGATATCAGTAATTGACCTCTTCTAGAAACTCCTAATATGGCTTCTCCAGGGTATATTGACGCTTTCTCATGAAAAATGTATCGACATATTCACAAGCAAGCCAACTGAGTTATCATCTTACATGATTTTAACCACTGCGGCGGGATGGCTGCTCATTTTGGAGTTTGACAGTGTTGGATTTACGTTTATTTCAAACAACAGAGGTAGTTGACACTATCAGCGGCTGGGTAGTCGCGCCATGGCTTTGATACGAAGGAAATGTTATCACAGAACAATTTTGATTTGTTTGCTTGTATTTGTGTTGTGGGAGATGTACTTTGTGCTTCATTCTCTGGGTGCAGACGGATCTAGAGTGATGGATAAACTCATCAATCAAGTCCTTGGTGATACCGTTAACTTTAAGGCAGATGTTCGCAGGGTTACCTCTCCCCTCGCCCTCTCAACATCAGCAACCACGAAGAGTTAAAAGAGCATATTGACAGTCTTAACATTCAACAATTTGTGCGCAATGGGGAACGCCTAGGACTGGAATTGGACTCGGAGAGTGTTGTGATTGTAATACAGGTTCATCAGAGGATTAAGGAACTTCGATACCTCATTGAATCTTTAGAACGGGCAAGGTATATCAATAAATGTTTGGTCATTTTTAGTCATGATATTTATTCAAAGGACATCAATACTATTATTAATGGTATTAAGACGTTCCCGGTTCTGCAGATATTCTACCCCTATTCCACTCAAGTCTATCCGTCTGACTTCCCCCGGGCAACATCCAAATGATTGTCCCTGGAACATATCAGTTATGGCGGCCCGGAAGCGGATGTGCAACAATGCTTATAATCCGGACAGTTATGGCCATTACAGAGAAGCAAACGTCGCTCAGATGAAGCACCATTGGTTGTGGCAACTGCACTTTGTGATAGAAGAGATTCGGATTCTCAAAGATTTTGAAGGGACAATTCTCAGACTCGATGAAGACTATTACGTCGCTGAAGACGTGATTTATATTCTAAAAGAAATGAATAAGATTAGAAGATCTGCACCAGATAGATACAGAATGATGATTCTTGGAGATTATGATGAAATACCAACCTGGTCGTACGAGGGAATGACCGGCATTATCAGACAAGAGAAATGGTATGTCGGGGTCGGCCGTGGAATGGCGTTTGGTAAAGAGTTCTGGCACGACTTCAAGGCATGTTCCCACGTGTTCTGCACATACGACGACTACAACTGGGACTGGGCGTTACAGGAAACGGTGTTGAAGTGCATGAAGGGGTCGCTGAACATTCTTCAGCCATCTGCTGGTAGAGTATTCCACATTGGCTTATGTCATGGTTTCCACAGAAACGTTGAAGGTTGTTCATCAGAAAGTATTAAACGTGAGGTAACCAATTTGTTGATAGAAAACGAGGAGCACCTGTTTCCCAAGAAAGTGTCGCTGATCCACAACCCTGAAGTGGACTTTGAACCCGGACATGCCTTTGCCAATGGAGGTTGGATGGACCCGAGAGATCATCGGCTGTGCAAGAGCTTTCTTGATGGGAAGGGACTTACAGAACAAACGATTCAGTTGATCAATAAAGGTGTTCGAACCTGACGTTGACCAGTCTTTTGATGTGAACAGAACAAAATCTTCAGTAAACTTGCCTGACAGAAGGCGTATAGTGAAGGGGGTAAACATAAATGTTCTATATGTTATTATAGCTTACAAATGTTTAAGGGACCGTTCATAATGTACGGTGGGGGTGGTGGTGATGGTGATGATGATCTTATGAAGAATCATATATAATGTGAATGGAACACACCCCACCCCCCACCCCTTTACAGTTTATATACAAAGTGACCCCCTTACATGTCATGTACAAAATCAATTCTCATCTCACAACAGAACGTAAAATCAAGATTATAGAAATATGTAATAGGGAGATAAGAGCTGCTCACCCCTGTCATCAGGTATTGTCTATGATCCACTGTATAATTTCACCACTGCTTTTTACACCAAAATATATGTGTCGACCCCAAATCGGGAACTATTATTTCAATTCTTTTCGGAAACTTATATACACGCACATACGTCTGGGCAGGTGTTTGCCTCGATGGGTGTATAACTGCGGGAGCTCAGTTTATTTTTTGCCAGCAGATATTTTAATTTTTAATGGCTCTGGCTGAGAACAGCATAACATGAAATATATATTACGTCCTTAATGCTGCCTCGTCAGACGCGCTAACAAAACCAACGCTGAAGATAATGGGACGTGCGGGAATATTTTATGATGTTTTATCGACGTACGACATATATTAAAGTTTCATTCATACCGTTTCTGTATTGATTGCTCATAACCTACTGGGGCACTGCCTTCTAATATGACACACAATTAGATGTCTATTAATATACCTTAGTTATTGACGTTTCACATAATATGGTAAAATGTGAAGGGACAGCTATTGAGAATGGTGTGAATCGAATCCAGCCGAATATACGTTCATAAGTGTTTTACTCTGCAGTCAGGAGCTCTCGAGACTTGACACAGGACTAAAATGCTTTTACTTTGTTTCGGCAATATCTGCAACAACTAGTCATGTGACCAACAGTGCCGGACAAAAGAGTCTATTATATAGAGCGATGTTTAATAGTGACTAAACCTGAAACAAACAAGAGAAGATAATTGATGCTGATGTATATCATACGGGGGTCATAGTTGTGTTTTGGGCCTTACGTTTGCAGTGTTTCGGTTTCTGTTTTCTACCAATAATCTTTATATATCGCTTGTGAGGCTTTTGCCAAATCAGAATTTCAGTTTTAAAATTTCATTTTGCCGTCAGTTTACTTACATACGCCTTCAAAATGGAAAACGTCTACCTGCTGACGTCTCAAGATGTGCTGGGAAATTTACGTACGACTACCATAGATGCCATCGTCGATCTAAGGATATTCCTTGCAGGAAAATATATGCACCTTTTCCCACTTTAAAGTTATATAGTATCACTGACCTATTTTGAAAGCAAATATCTTGAAAAATGATTTATACATGAAGTCGCCATAAATATGTAAAATGGTAATCAATAAACGTCGTGAACAACCAAAGGCACCTGCATGAAAATATTCGACCATTCCAAAGATCTGTATGAAGTCAACTTATGGTTGGTTATTATTACTATAGGATATATATATAGCGCACATATCCACGCAACGTACATGCTCAAGGCGCTGTTCCCTTGATCAACGTATGTCTTTTTTCTTTCATTCTTTTAACCAACTCAACTCACTGGGGAGTATTCAATGGTTACCATGAGATGTAATATTCATTTTGCCTGGAAGCTGTCTTTAAAACAATGGGCTATAGGTTTAGTTCGTGCGCATATTTCGCGTTGTTGTGTATCATTTTCACGAATTACTTTTTTTCCAGTCTTTCTGCCTGACATAATTACAATGATTTAATGCATTAAGATATGGGAGGCAGGTGAGAATTGAACCTATATTAAGTGGTAAATATATTACGAGGATGTTCTAAACGATATGAATATTTGTACAAGGTGGATAACAAATCTGAATGTTAAAGTAATATATCATAAAGTTGACCGACACTTCGACCGTGCACACACATTCACATATATTTGTGTGAAGCATTTGCTGCAAACATTACATGAATGGTGATGGCAATCACAAGATTGTCTGGTCCAAACTAGTTTATTTCCATACCACCGCGTTATAGGTCAAATGTTGCTGAGCGCAGCGTTCAAAGATAAAGTTAAGTGCTAACGAATGGTCTTCTAAGATAAAGTTAAGTGCTAACAAATCGTCTTCTAATATAAAGTTAAGTGCTAACGAATGGTCTTCTAAGTCTGACAACACAATGTCCAGTTCCAATTTTCGTGGTGTTTTGTGAATTTACTGGTTATAGCTCATACAGAAATATTCCTGTGCACTTGTCCTTTCTGGAAGTATGATTTTCTGGATTGTCAAGTTTATTCCGTAGTTTAGGTCGATATCAGACACGCCAGTGACAAAAATAGCTGATGTGGCTAGAACTATATGTTCCTGCTTTGTTCGTGCGAATTACTTACCTTTGCATATTTGCGAACAGCTGGTATCCCTCTGTACAACAGTACTTTGTAATCACCGGTTAATGGTATAGTCGGAATGAACTCTGCTTTTATCACAGATGTCTTATGCTTATGGAAATATGTTTCGTCGTTCACATATATCATGCAAGGAACCTAAGTCAAAGAGAGTACCTGAATATGTATCCTTCCGTATGCACAAGAATTATGCCATTACAAGAACTACGTGCTCTTTCCCGCCAGTACAAGTACTAGGAGCTTCTGTGGGAACAGGAACTAAGCGCTTTTGTCAGAACAAGAAGGTGCATTCTGCTAACAGTACAAAAACAAGGCGCTTCTTCCAATCCCTACAAGAACAAAGACTCCATGAATCCTTCAGCCACTGATGACATACAGTGAGACCTGACAAGCTCATTTGATCGTCTGTCCGGTGAGATAGAAAAGATATTTTCCTGAAAACAATATATAGTCATTATTACCACAGGTGATGTGAAGAGCTTGTAAAGGTGGGCATGTCTGGTGTACACGTAGGTTTTGTTCTAACATTTCAGAAGTGATGAAGAGAACAACAAGATGGTCTATTTCAATATTTATTGTTGAGTATGTAGGAATAGTCAGATATTGATGACATGATTGAGTGAGTGAGTTTAGTTTCACGCCGGTTTTAGCAATATTCCAGCAATATCACAGCGGGGGACACCAGAAATGGGCTTCACACATTGTACCCATATGGGGAATCGAACCTGGCTTCTCAGCGTGACGAGCGAACACCACTAGGCTACCCACCCCCTGATGACATAAGACAAAGATATACGACTCTGTCTATCAAGCAATAATGCATTGGATGGGCGAGTGCATCATGGCAAGATATCACATGACCAGATCAGCTGATGACAACAGATGATTGAACTGTTCACAAAGATACAAAGGCAAGAAAAAAAAATGTAAACTACAACTTAGGTTGCAAAGCTCATCAAACCAACAGCAGATAGGACAATGTCACACTCTCTGGGTCACACAGCTGGTCAGCCAATTGAGCTGAGGGTTGGTTCTAACTCGGACACACAGCCAAGTACAGATACTTTCCACAGCTGGCCTACAAGTAAATTCATTGATCATGGACACTAGTAGTTATATATGTGTCTATCCCTTGTACTGTTTGATCGACATTTTCTAAAAATGGCAAGTAACTGTAAAGTCACGATATTTTATGGATGACAGCGTCTTTGTTTATTATGATCCGACATTTCAGTAAACATTATTATATAGCTGCCATCTGCGTACAAACGACGAGGCAACTAAGATCAGCAACAGCCTCACAGTATACGCATCTATACCGAAATGTCTCATTAAACTAAGGTGCTCTGAACCATAGAAACATTTCCTGTTTTTATCACAAGTTCTCCATGAATAACACATCCATCATCATTCTTCAAGAACCAATTCCATAATAACTGGGAGTGATTGGTGCCTGTTACACCGACCATGAGGTATTGTATTCAGATTAGTTTATCAGCTGTTTAAATCATTAAACTGACAAATAAATATTTCATCCTATTACTAGACATTTTTATCAATACATAAATTTACACATGAATCAATGTACTGCTGATTACAATACCATGATGTGACAAAGGTATACTTTATCATAATGCATTTGAAAGATGATTTGCTCCATGCTGATTATTACATATTAAATACGCTATGTTCATAATCATTATATGAAATAAGAAAAACAAACATGACCAATAAGAAAATCACATTTCTTACCTGAAATATGATAACGAAATATGACATGCCCCCACAGCTCTGTCAATATGAACAATAGGACCTGTCATAAATTCATCAAATGTTGACAGTCCAAACACCCCAGGCAACAAATTTAAAAAATGAAAGGCAACTGCCATACAAATACAAAACAAATTTGTGTATTTTTATCGAAGTGTATATTTTACACGTATCTGGGTTATAGATGAATTGCATATCTGTGTAAAATAATTAACCAATTTATTTTGAGCATACACAAATCAAAACCCCATTAATTTAGCAATACTTCGTAATTTTCTGTTGTATCCTCATCAACTGGCATGCTGTTATTTCTTTTAGATCAGCATTAACTGATTGAATGCAGGCATAACACATACATAACACGTACATAACACGTATATAACACATACATAACACATACATAACATGTACAGAACAGTTACCATACAATGACACTACATGTCATTTCTTGTACATTAGGCATATACAGTTTATAACAATTGTGCCGAACTTTGATATGTCAGACACACTGTTGTCTCGAAACAAAAGCTTTGTTCCCCATGTATTCCTTCCATATTCATCATTTTTGCTGTGTCGAGCCTGGGATAACTAGAAGTATTTACAAAGGTCTCTGTAAGTTTGACAGAACGGTGTTTGAATATGTATAGCTATATGTTTCAGTCTCAGAATAGCACATGAATATATACAATTAAAAATCACTAGAATTGGCATTGTCAGCAGATCGTTAAAAAATATCTATTCCATGCTGTAAATATATCCAACAAGGAAGTTGAAATGTAATGAGTACAGATAGAAAAGTGTCACTACCTTATGAAACCTTGTGAATACCTAATGGCTCACTGTATAATACTGAGTCCTTTGCTGATATCTATGAACAGCTTGCACTGTGACACATATCTATGTCAAATACCTACTGTCATTAAGTTAATGACCACCCATTGCTTTCATATTACTTTAAAAACATAACATGTTGAAGTAGTATAGTGTCAAAATAAAATCAGAAATATATATACTAGTATTTATTATAGTGGAGGATATTATATTAAAAAAAGTTCTAAAAACTTGAGAATGAAAATCATAATAAAGTTTGACTCCCAGATCTAAGACCCAGCACCATACTATGACCTAGACCGCTGGGCCACCACGGCCACACCTTCTCAGTATAAGATACATGTTTGCACACACTGAACAGTTGTAAGCTGGGCAACTCTGGCACACTGTTGCTATGTTCTGTTTAATGCTTATACGCACCCAGTCATCTAGGCCTTGTCTTGTATATATACCTATATACATACATGTAGTATTTTGCATGACAGCAAGAACATTCTATCGAGAAACACACTGTGCCATTTATATTTTATAATGTCATCTCATCATATATATTCTGTTATGGTATTAAGGTATAACATGATATAATACATGGTATATATAACAAACATGGTATATAAAACAAATATGGCATGTAGAACAATCGTGGTGTGTTTGAATGTTAGGGGTACACAAGGGAGATAACTGATCACACGAAAAACACAGAACACAGTTGACAATTCTGGCTTCACAAAGTGGGGAACACAGAACACAGCTTGGGTCAGAGATGGCTTGACATTGAGACTTACAACAGTAAATGAGGCTTGGAATGTACCCTCAAACATACACAGAACTGTTGGCGACATTAGACACTTACATAGCACAGTACACCCAGAGGTGTTTCACGTATATGTGAACCTTGTTTACCTACATTTCAACACAGAGACATACAGACAGGCATACCAAAACATAGGTTCTCGTCACACACACATTAACCTCCACACATGAATACATATGGGTGTATTGTGCGCATATGTACTCAAGTTATCACATGTTTATACATAATCACATAGGTGATACAATATGTTGCCATTTGTCTGGCTATAACTTTGGAGGAAGTATCCACAAAGTCTGACTCCTGTCTCACTGAACACCACCTCTACTTTGTCCATCAAGTTGTGCACAGACACCCCAGCAATCGGATAGTCTTTGATGACATGAACAGCTCATCTACAGCCGTGTACATCTTAGTGCCGTGTACATGTTGGTGCCGTGTACTAAAGACATACAGAAGAGACCGAGGCTGATCATGTTTACACATGTGTCACGTGACAACGGTTCGCTGTTCAGAATGCAAGATCATGTAGCATGCTCTGAATCTCGTCAAATGCTGCGTCAATTTCACTTGACGACTTCTTGGCAGGACCTGGAACAAAGACACAATGTGGTACATTTGTATTTCAGTGTTGATATAAAAAATATAACACAACTGATCATACTTCTGATATCACTCGTTACGGAACTCACCTCTGATGACATCACATATATTACTAAATTGACCTCTGTTCTGATGTCACATGTACTACTGACTGTTCTGTGATGATATCACATATACTACTGTCCTGTGATGATATCACATGTACTGCTGACTGTCCTGAAATGATATCACATGTACTACTATACTACTGGCTGTCCTGTGATGATATCACATGTACTGCTGAATGTCCTCTGATAATATTACATGTACTGCTGACTGTCATGTGATATCATATGTACTACTGACTGTCCTGTGATGATATCACATGTACTACTGTCCTGTGATACCACATGTACTGCTGACTGTCCTGTGATGATATCCCATGTACTACTGTCCTGTGATGATATCACATGTACTACTGTCCTGTGATGATATCACATGTACTACTGTCCTGTGATGGTATCACATGTACTACTGACTGTCCTGTGATGATATCACATGTACTACTGACTGTCCTGTAATGATATCACATGTACTACTGACTGTCCTGTGATGATATCACATGTACTACTGTGATGGTATCACATGTACTACTGACTGTCCTGTAATGATATCACATGTACTACTGACTGTCCTGTGATGATATCACATGTACTACTGTCCTGTGATGGTATCACATGTACTACTGACTGTCCTGTAATGATATCACATGTACTACTGACTGTCCTGTGATGATATCACATGTACTACTGTCTTGTTATGGTATCACATGTACTACTGTCCTGTGATCGTATCACATGTACTACTGACTGTCCTGTGATGATATCACATGTACTGCTGAATGTCCTCTGATAATATTACATGTACTGCTGACTGTCCTGTGATATCACATGTACTGCTGACTGTCCTGTGATGATATCACATGTACTGCTGACTGTCCTGTGATGATATCACATGTACTGCTGAATGTCCTGTGATGATATCACATGTACTACTGTCCTGTGATAATATCACATGTACTACTGACTGCCCTGTGATACCACATGTACTGCTGACTGTCCTGTGATATCCCATGTACTACTGAATGTCCTGTGATATCACATGTACGGCTGACTGTCCTGTGATATCACATGTACTGCTGACTGTCCTGTGATGATATCACATGTGTACTGCTGACTGTCCTGTGATAATATCACATGTACTGCTGACTGTCCTGTGATGATATCACATGTACTACTGTCCTGTGATGGTATCACATGTACTACTTGACTGTCCTGTAATGATATCCCATGTACTACTGACTGTCCTGTGATGATATCACATGTACTGCTGACTGTCCTGTGATGATATCACATGTACTGCTGACTGTCCTGTGATGATATCACATGTACTACTGACTGTCCTGTGATGATATCACATGTACTGCTGACTGTCCTGTGATGATATCACATGTACTGCTGACTGTCCTGTGATGATATCACATGTACTGCTGAATGTCCTGTGATGATATCACATGTACTGCTGACTGTCCTGTGATGATATCACATGTACTGCTGAATGTCCTGTGATGATATCACATGTACTACTGTCCTGTGATAATATCACATGTACTACTGACTGCCCTGTGATACCACATGTACTGCTGACGGTCCTGTGATATCCATATACTACTGAATGTCCTGTGATATCATGTACTACTGAATGTCCTGTGATATCACATGTACGGGTTGACTGTCCTGTGATGATATCACATGTACTGCTGACTGTCCTGTGATGATATCACATGTACTGCTGACTGTCCTGTGATGATATCACATGTACTACTGTCCTGTGATGGTATCACATGTACTACTGACTGTCCTGTAATGATATCCATATACTACTGACTGTCCTGTGATGATATCACATGTACTACTGTCCTGTGATGGTATCACATGTACTACTGTCCTGTGATCGTATCACATGTACTACTGACTGTCCTGTGATGATATCACATGTACTGCTGACTGTCCTGATATCACATGTACTACTGACTGTCCTGTGATGATATCACATGTACTGCTGACTGTCCTGTGATGATATCATGTACTGCTGAATGTCCTGTAATGATATCACATGTACTGCTGAATGTCCTGTGATGATATCCACATGTACTATTGTCCTGTGATAATATCACATGTACTACTGACTGCCCTGTGATACCACATGTACTGCTGACTGTCCTGTGATATCACATGTACTACTGAATGTCCTGTGATATCACATGTACTGACTGACTGTCCTGTGATATCACATGTACTGCTGACTGTCCTGTGATGATATCACATGTACTGCTGACTGTCCTGTGATGATATCACATGTACTGCTGACTGTCCTGTGATGATATCACATGTACTACTGACTGTCCTGTGATGATATCACATGTACTACTGACTGTCCTGTAATGATATCACATGTACTACTGACTGTCCTGTGATGATATCACATGTACTACTGTCCTGTGATGGTATCACATGTACTACTGTCCTGTGATCGTATCACATGTACTACTGACTGTCCTGTGATGATATCACATGTACTGCTGACTGTCCTGTGATGATATCACATGTACTGCTGACTGTCCTGTGATGATATCACATGTACTGCTGACTGTCCTGTGATATCACATGTACTGCTGACTGTCCTGTGATGATATCACATGTACTGCTGACTGTCCTGTGATGATATCACATGTACTACTGTCCTGTGATAATATCACATGTACTACTGACTGCCCTGTGATATCACATGTACTGCTGACTGTCCTGTGATGATATCACATGTACTACTGACTGTCCTGTGATATCACATGTACTGCTGACTGTCCTGTGATATCACATGTACTACTGAATGTCCTGTGATATCACATGTACGGCTGACTGTCCTGTGATGATATCACATGTACTGCTGACTGTCCTGTGATGATATCACATGTACTGCTGACTGTCCTGTGATATTACATGTACTGATGTCTGTCCTGTGATGATATTACACATACTGCTGACTGTCCTGTGATATCACATGTACTGCTGACTGTCCTGTGATGATATCACATGTACTGCTGACTGTCCTGTGATGATATCACATGTACTACTGACTGCCCTGTGAGGGTCTCAAATGAATTCCTGAAATGACTTAAAATGATATCATATTTACAGAACTGACCCCTCTGCACTATAACAAGCGATATTAGACTCTTAACACAACTTACGGACTTCGATTACTTCCAGAGCCTCCACAAACAGATCTGGGTTGGCCACACTGCGAACTTTGATTGTAAAACTTCCAGCTGAAAATAGTGTGTGAGTGAGTAACGCCACTATGGACAGCACATCAGTCAGAGCATGTCACTATGTCTCTAAAACACCACCACCTGTAGATTGTTGCTGGAAACTGACGAAAGCATACAGCTTTATGGATAACAACGTCGCTCTATGCAATAAACAAGAAGTTGTTAGCCACAAAGTTGTATGTTTCATTATTTACTCACCAGTGTCTAGAATGTCTAGAATGTCTAGAATGCCGATCTAATATTTACACTGAAACAGGTCAAGATCTAATCTTAAGAAAGTCTGGCTAGTTTCCTTTAACACAGTTCTTGTCAACATGACTTAATGCCACTTCAGGTGGAAAATAAAGACATTCATTAATTTGTTATTGACTATTGGAAACATAATGTTAAGATAAAACTGCAGATGAATTTACAAGAAGACATATACATAACCTTTCATTGCAAGCTAACAGTCTTAAGTACCTGTTTTGAATGAGATGTCGGAGAAGATGGCAATGGATGCTTCATCATTGTCACTGGGAATCAGTCTGACCCGAGTGTTCCCTGCAAGCTTCCCGCCATCCACGTATGCCTCCACTGTCTGGCAAACATCGGGGTCGGACTGGACACTGAAGTCCGGCAGCTGCTCCTCCGCCCTTGTCAGCGTTATCGGCACTCGCAGCCAGTCGAGGGTGGACAGGGGAAATTCTGAAAGAGAGTGAGTGAGTGAGTTTAGTTTTACACCGCTTTTAGCAATATTCCAGCAATTCTGAAAGAGAAAGGAGCGATTTAGTTGATTTAAGAGAAATATATTTGTGTTGTGGCGCTCCTCAGGGAGTTGAGAATGAAAATAAAGTCGATCAACTGACTGGTTATAATGGTTGCTGGTGTCACGAGCATTCACCTGGTGAATGGAATCTGGTCATAATAAATGGTCTTAGCAACAATTTTATAAGAAGCATGTCTTGGGATGGCTAGCACACCCACAAGAATATATCCAAGTTTAGTGAAAACACAACCAGACTTTCACCAAGGCTAACAAACACTCAACGCAGGACATAGTGTGACTGACAAACAGACACCTGTTATCACGAGTGTGAAGCCTGGTTTGGCCCAGCTATGTTTCTCTTCTCATGGGTTTCACTGAAGTTGCACCCATTTAAGTCTTCATTACATCGACTGCCATTCTGTAATATGACTGGAACACTGAGGCCAAAGAGGCATTGAACACAACTCACTCACTCACTCACTGATGTAGGTAAATACATATATTCAATGCATCATCTTGATTAACTGACGGGTCCTAATTTCAATATTCCTTATGTCATGTTACTATGGTTTCTTACCATTTTCTCTCAAATTCTGGAGTGTTTTCAGTAATTCTGTTGTGTCTTCAGAGCCACAGATCTGCAAATGTAACAACCAATGCATTATTTTCACTTGACAAGCACTGCAAGACAGCTGTAATTCTGACATCCTTGACGTTAAAACATCTGGAAAGCAGAGACCCAACTCACCTAAATACTTTCATAAGAATAAACACAATAAAATGGTCGAGAAATCAGTGATAAATATAAATGCAATATGGCTTCCATGACAACCATGTTAATAAATAATCAACATTCTCTGGCATTTGTTAGACATGGCACGGCCTATCAAAGCTGATGATGGATAGACAGAACATTCACAGCAATTAAGGAGAGGAGTGAGTGAGTATGGTTTAACGCCGCTTTTAGCAATATTCCAGCAATATTACGGCAGGGGACACCAGAAATGGGCCTGACACATTGTACCCATTTGGGGAATCAAACCTGGGCCTTAGGCGTGATGAGCAAACGCTTTAACCACTAGGCTACTGAACCAGGCCATTAAGGAGAGGGCAAAAATGTGACCCACTTTGCAATTTCAACAACACTGTTGCATTAACGGCTTTCAACAGCTTTCTAGTAACTTTCAAAGATCACTGGGGCTCATATAAGCAACATCAGCACACCTGTTTAATAGCCTCATCCTCCATCTTCAGTAACCTCAAGTATGTGTTGGCTTCCTGGAAGTACAGAACAGACAATAGGTGAATTTAGGGGAATGGTTCATTAAAATAACTGCTGTGGCCCCTTGGAGGTATTGCAAATTAAGTGAGTGAGTTTAGTTTTATGCCACACTCAGCAATATTCCAGATATATGGCAGCGGTCCTAAAGCAATAAAGTCTGGACCAGACAATCCAGTGATCAACAGCATGAACATCGATCTACGTAATTGGGATACGATGACATATGTCAAACAAGGTAGCGAGTCTGACCACCTGATCCCATTAGTCACATCTTACGACAAGCATGGGTTGCTGAAGACCAATTTAAACCCGGATCTTCATGGTCCTATAAATCAGTAAGAATCATGACAGAAACAATAATCACAAATAATCGAAGCTGTGAGTTGAATTTTGACGGAAATATTTATCCATAATTCATGTCAAAAAAAAGAATAATTCAGGGGAAAAAGCTCAAAGCATTTCTTTCACTGACCAAATGAAATTCTGCTTGGTTTGAGTGGTAAACTGTTGATTACAAATATAAGTGCTGTTTGAGTTGCAACATAACTTTCTCAATAGTATGCTGTCAATACGGCAAGTATGCAGTCCAGCATCTCACACAATCACAAGGCAGACGAGGTTGTACCTGGCAGATGATATTGTCCTTGTTTTCGACAATGTTGCTGTTGTCCAGGATTGAGGACACCTTCCCCTCCACGCCATGTAGCTGGGCCCCCTGAAAGCAGATGCAGCTGCCGCCGTGGTTGTTGCGGATGTAGAGGCGAAGGTACTGACATGTGACCTCGAAACCCTTAAATGTCTGAGGCACCCCTGAAATGTTCAGAGAAGTGAGTGAGAGTGAGTGAGTGAGTGAGTGAGTGAGTGAGTGAGGGAGTGAGTGAGGGAGGGAGGGAGGGAGGGAGGAGGGAGCAAGCCAGCATGGTATTGTTGCAAGGGATAGGTGACAGGGAGAGTAACTGATGTGAGAGGAATGGTGTTCTGAGATGAGATAGAATCAAAGCTACCACTCACCGGGTTCTTTAGGGTCTGCACTGCCAAGCAGCTGGCACACTCCGGACAGACACGTGGTCCATGGACCCCTGGTAAAACACAACGCAGATCAGTACAACAGACATCACTTGACACACACAAACTTCACCTGAGTCACAGACACGTGGTCCACGGACCCCTGGTAAAACACAACACAGATCAGTACAACAGACATCACTTGACACACACAAACTTCACCTGAGTCACGAACCGTGGTCCACGGACCCCTGGTAAAACACAAGCGCATGAGATCAGTACAACAGACATCACTTGACACACAAACTTCACCTGAGTCACAGAACCGTGGTCCACGGACCATGGTAAAACACAACGCAGATCAGTACAACAGACATCACTTGACACACACAAACTTCACGGAGTCACAGACACGTGGTCCACGGACCCCTGGTAAAACACAAGCGCCAGATCAGTAACGACCGACATCACTTGACACACACAAACTTCACGAGTCACAGAACCGTGGTCCACGGACCATGGTAAAACACAACGCAGATCAGTACAACAGACATCACTTGACACACACAAACTTCACCGAGTCACAGACACCGTGGTCCACGGACCATGGTAAAACACAAGCGCAGATCAGTACAACAGACATCACTTGACACACACAAACTTCACGAGTCACAGACCGTGGTCCACGGACCATGGTAAAACACAACGCAGATCAGTACAACAGACATCACTTGACACACACAAACTTCACCGAGTCACAGACACACGTGGTCCACGGACCATGGTAAAACACAACGCCAGATCAAGTACAACAGACATCACTTGACACACACAAACTTCACCTGAGTCACAGACACCTGGTCCACGGACCATGGTAAAACACAACGCAGATCAGTACAACAGACATCACCTGACACACAACAAACTTCACCTGAGTCACACACACACCTGGTCCACGGACCCCTGGTAAAACACAACCAGATCAGTACAACAGACATCACTTGACACACACAAACTTCACCGAGTCACAGACACGTGGTCCACGGACCATGGTAAAACACAACGCAGATCAGTACAACAGGCATCACCTGACACACACAAACTTCACCTGAGTCACAGACATGTGGTCCATGGACCCCTGGTAAAACACAACACAGATCAGTACAACAGACATCACTTGACACACACAAACTTCACGAGTCACAGACACGCGGGTCCATGGACCCCTGGTAAAACACAACGCAGATCAGTACAACAGACATCACTTGACACACACAAACTTCACCTGAGTCACAGACATGTGGTCCACAGACCATGGTAAAACACAACGCAGATCAGTACATCAGACATCACTTGACACACACAAACTTCACCGGAGTCACAGACCGCGTGGTCCACGGACCATAGTAAAACACAAGCGCAGATCAGTACAACAGACATAACTTGACACACACAAACTTCACCGGAGTCACAGACACGTGGTCCACGGACCCCTGGTAAAACACAACACAGATCAGTACAACAGACATCACTTGACACACACAAACTTCACCGGAGTCACAGACACGTGGTCCACGGAGCCCTGGTAAAACACAACACAGATCAGTACAACAGGCATCACTTGACACACACAGCCTGACACATATAAAATTCACCTGAGTCACGCACCCCTGGAAATACACAGCACAGATCAGGACAACCATCTGATGCAACCACCATGACTTGCTGTGACAAAGACACAGAGGCAATGGCACACACGCACACACACACGCACATGCACACACGTGTCATAGATTGGCTTGGGTTTTTCCAAACAGTTAACAAAAGCCTTCATGTCCTATCTACTCCAGCATCTACTACAGTATCTACTTCTATCAACCTACTTGATGTTATCTGATTTCTGCAGTTCAAAATTCTTCACCATTTGAGTACTGTGCCTGTAATGCAAAAATTGACAATGTACAAAAATTATATATCCAATATAACAATGGAATACTGAATCTAACTTAAATCAACTTCGCTCTAATTCACCTCTGAACTTTTAAAGCCGAACTGATTTAAGTTCAATGAAAGGGAGTAATCTTGATAAGAGACAGTGTATGGGAAACTTTATCCACAGTTAAATCTTATTAGCCCACAATTCCTTGACAAGAGTTTTCTCCCTTGCAGGCAATGATTCCGTGAGTGTTGAGCACTAATCAGCTGCCCTCACCAGCCATACAGCGTGATGCCCGTGATAGTGTGCTCCTGCTGCAGATCAAACACCGTCCAGGCATGGTGAAGACTTGGGATCACCCAGAATGTGTAGGGGTTATCTGAGGATAAACAAAATCACTGAGGAGTATTGAGAGGTTCGATTTCAGCACATGAACGTGGCAACTTGCAGTCTTTCTTATAGTTTCTCAAATTACAGATCAAATATTACTAAAAAACATGTAAACCAACATTTAAACTTTATTATATATTTACGATTAATGGAAAATGACAAAATACCCAAATGAGTTTGAGTAGGGTGGGTACAATTTATTTGGTTACTCAAAGGAAAATTAGGATACTCAATTGAGACACAAGTGAGTACATAACTCAATGACTCTGACTCAATGAAGTTATCTGTAGCTCTGTTACCGACATTTTATGTGGTGTATCACTACTTAAAACTATCTGCGTTACATCACATACCATCTAACACATGCTCGTTTGTGTTTTTCTCTGTACAAGTGCTGCAAAAGTCTGGAATATTCTTGGTCCATTTGCCTTTGCTTGGTAGTAAGGGATAATCTGGGATGAAGATTGAAATAGTTATTGACTGGAAACCAAATATTTCACCTATCACAACAAATCCTCAGTAAATCACACCTACGCTTCACATGTGACTGTCCAGGAACAATCCCTGGATGGAGTACTCTACAGCCGGCCAATTATGAACCAGTGCTACAGACAATCATGAGACCCGGTACCTTTAGACCGGTACCTTTAGACCCGGTACCTGTAGACCTGGTACCTTTATCACTCTGGCAAAGACCTAGAATACTAATCAGAATAATCTGATATTCCAAGTCACAATCATAGGATTCTGTAATGACTAAGGGAAGCTGTTTTGCACAACAAATTGTGGTACCTGTTGGCACCTATGCCCCATAATTCTGTTTATCATTTTATTTTATTGAAAGTCAAAGTATGGCTGACTGCTGGAACAATGTAATAAGGCATGATAATTCACAGCAGTGTTGTAGGAACCACTATGTATGGTGTACCTTTCGAGACATCTGTGGTAGCTTTCTCATTGCCATTTTCACCATAAAACCTTGGCAGTCGAGGCAATGACTTCTTATACTCTGCAACAAAAGTAATATAATAGTTTAGAGCCAATGAGGGATGGTGAGATGTTCACATATGATGTCAGATCTGAATATCATCATGTGATCAGGGAAATCTGATCCAGACGTATCATGTTCCTTCATCACTTCCTATTCGACTACATTTCAGTCAACACATGATATCTACGATCTTCCATTGGGGAAGTATGCTTATGTCAATATGTCCGTGCAGTGTATGAATGACAACAAAAGGACAACAAAAGCAGTGAAGGAAAAACAAAATATAAGAAAATACAAAAAGACAGTTTGCAGGAATCTCAATCAAGATAGTCACCTTAAAAAGCAATTTCATAAAATTCATCTATATACCAGCAGATGTCTAATTGATGAAGAAGATATTTGTGTAACAGAAACATCTGTCTCATTTCCCATGAAATTATATTCTATTGTGAAGACATATGATATACATGTATTCATTGAATATCCGAACATTGATGATTTATGTCAACAAGATCAGTCTGAGTACAAAGACGCTTTTGCCTACCTTCAAATAAATCTAGAAATTTATCACACATTGCTTTGGGGAGCTCACGGACGATACTTTCTGGGGTCTGCCAAACAATTTGATAACAAACACATAGAGAAAATGCGAATCTCAAAACATGTAAAATAAACAGCATGCAAAGTGCATTAAACAAACAAAAGCAAACAAAGTGAACAACACAATCTTGTTAAATCATTTTGTTGTAGACAGCATTTCAACAATATGTCCACAAGTGATCAGGATGTATCAATATTCCATGATCAGGAAACTGATTCTCACAATATGTCAAGTGCATCAAGCATCTAAATAGACTGACACATCTGATTATTCCAGTGTAAAGTTGAGTAGTATATCACAGCATCACTAAACTGAACAGAATGAAGATACGATCATTACAGCAGTATAACATCACTGTAACATTGGGAGATCATGATGACATCACAGTAGCATCACTATGACAACAGGATGCCATTTCCACATCACTATGATGTCACAGTAACACTTTGAGTTAGTGAGTGAGTGGTTTATGCCACCAGAAATGGACTATCCACATGTGGGATCAACTCCTGGCCTATGAGCAAATGGTTTTACTACATGTACCTAACTTTTTGCCAAGGCTCTGGCACAACTATTCCTGAAGGGGCATTGTGTAAATCTGGACTTGTCCCAACCCTGAACATCACAGACATATATCTCTATGACACATTAGTTACATATCACTATGACATCACAGACATATATCATTATGACACCACAGATAGATATTACTAGGACATCACAGATATATATCACTAGGACATCACAGACATATAATTATGACATCACAGATGTATATCACTAGGACATCACAGATATATATCACAATGACATCACAGACATGTATCTCTATGATACATCAGTTATATATAAAGAGGACATCACTAACATACATCATTATGACATCACAGATATATATCACTAGGACATCACAGATATATGTATGTGTGTGAATGTGTGCACTCGTGTACGTACGTAATACGTACGTACATCTATATTGACATATCAGTTATAAACAACTAGGACTTAACGGATATACATATTCTCAACATGGATTAATATAATGCTAGAAATTCTACAAAACCTCTACTCACTCACTCAAAGTACCATCACAAGGACATCACAATAACATTACGCATGCAACTGTGTTATCACAACAGACAGCAGGTTCTGTGTTACAGGAAGATGTGATATTCAAAGTGGAAGATGTGAGTTTCATCACTACTCAAAACAAACACTGATGTACAATACCAAGACCGACACTAACAAAATGTCTGCACATATAGACAACGACACTAGGTCCCAGGTCCAGGGGTTCACCCAACCTGCATGTCAAGTTGGTGGCTTGGGTGGATGATTGGCCTTGGTGTCTTAGCATATTTAGCATACACACCATATTGTATGTAACATTTCTTCATGCTTTGTACCAGGCCCCAAAAGAAAACTCCATCCCTTAAGAAACTACCAATCCTTAAAAAGTGTTCACAATAACATATTTTCAATTTAAAATAGTGAGTGGGTATAGTTTTATGCCGCTTTTAGCAATATTCCAGCAATATCACGGCAGGGGACACCAGAATGGGCTTGACACATTGTACCCATGTGGGGAATCGAACCCAGGTCTTCAGCGTGATGAATGAACGCTTTAACCACTAGGCTACCCTTGAAAAATAGAACAACCTTGTCATGCTCCTTCCAATAGGGACATAAATAATAAGCTACTCCTTCATTCGTTCAGGAAACATCCTACTTATCTTTAGGAAAGTACATACATGTATTACATTGATTACTCATCCACCTTGTAAGTAACTGAATCAATGAGCACCTGTAGATTGTGCTTCAAGCATGTCACGACAGGTACTCCCTCACACCTACCTCTCTGCTGGTATTCTGTAGAGCTGGTGAGGCACCGAATGCTAGTAACACCTTCGCTGCCTCAAATCTGGTGTGAAACAGGGAACATAATTGTGAGATTCTGTAGTTGAGATAAACATAGCAGTTGCAACTTTATCTAAAATCTAAAACAGGATATAAGAAAACAATTAAAACCATCACATTATTTAGATATTCTAAATGCAATGGAATTGCTTCTAATACAGACTCATGAAGATCTGGGTGGGAATTGGTCTTCTGCAACCCCTGTTTGTCATATGAAGGTATAATCAGAAACAGGTGGTCAGTCTCCCTTATTGGGTTGATGCATGGCATTGTATCCAGATCACACAGACTGATGCTAACAAAGTCAATCACTGGATTGCCTGGCCCAGACTTGATTATTTACAGACCACCATAATATGTTTGGGGTATCGTTGAGCAACATAAACAGAAAAAAACTTCAAATACGGCATACTGAACATAAATGGAAAAAGACAGAGACAACTTATCCAGAATATAACAGTTCAGTAAAATACATTGAGGCCTGCCTACGCTCAATCAGAATCCGTAGTATAACAAACACTTTTCGTAGGATAACTTCTTTGAGTGGCATTTATACAGTAAGGCCTTCAGTGCAGACTGAATCATCTGGTAGATGGAATGGGGGATTCTGTGTAAGATTTTTTGTTGTTTAAATGTACATAGGTAGTAATCAAATCCATATTTTCTGAATATTTAGAGCCGTCTTTTTCACATGACGACTTTTGTTGAATGTAACCGCAGGTATTTTCAAGCCATTGATATTTTGTGCAGGACTGGGGTTGGTCTGTTTAGCTTCCTGTACTTGGAAAAGGAGCTGGCTGAGGTGGTCATATTGGATATTGTTATTGCTTCGTTAAGGCCAGACTATGCACACATGCACAGCTTTTGATGGCTTAGTCTACATTTAAATCATAAAACATTACCATAGAAGTCAATGGGAAAATATTTAGTCTTGTGTAACCTCAATACCCCTGGAAATGGGAAGTGCCTGTTAGAGCTGTTCCTGGGCAGGTATGATGTAGAAATATAGTCACCTGAGGAACCTGACTGCCTCATGTAGAGGAGCTGTACACTTTATGACGTCAATGCCGTTGGGACTTATGCCATATTCCAGCAGAAGCTCCACGATTTCCTTGGTTCCCCGTGTCGCTGCCTCAGTGATGGCCATGGAGTTAAGTCGGAGACGTGGGTCGTGGTCCAGGAGGAGTGACACGGCATCTGTGACAGACGCACATAGTACTCACAGAACTCAGGGATGGGACAGCGAGTTGATTAGTAACATTGGATCGGGATAGACTGACGTTACCAGATTTCAGTTACCTTTCGTCCTAAACATCATTTTAACATCATTTCACAGTGGTCTACCAGGATTTTAAATCAGATATTATCCTCCTGCATGTATAGCATAATGTGTATAGTCTAGCCACCTTGTATACAGAATAGCTCTCATTGCAGACACTTGTGTGTAAAATCTACCTGCCATGTCAGAATCTATTTCGGATCATTCATTACCAAACAATGTAAAATTATAATTTCATAACCTGAAATAGAAACAAAATCTGAATAATGATTGCTACTTTCACAATATCTGGCCCACTAAGTGGTGAAGCAACCACTTTATGAGAAAGACATTTCCTTCCGTGATTAAAGTATAATGACTTGTGAAAAGTCTACCTTTACAGGAGAGGTGACATTTTCTATGAAACAGATACTATGTTAAATTATGCAGTGAAAATGAAATCAATATGGACTTTTCCTGTTACCACGGCAACATACGTAAGTATTGAAATAGTACAGGATGCTGGGGAAGTGGCCTTCCTCCTTAAATATATATTTTTATCTGTGTGAATTTCTATCTAACATCCCTACAGGGAATTAAATCATGGCTTTCACTTCTACATCTACAAACAAACCTTTTTTATTGAACATGGCAGCAGCGTCTAATGGTCCAACGCCTTTTTTGTTTCGCTTGTCACTGTCTGCGCCGCCCTAGGAATACAGGAAGACATTATATTGTATGTGAGAAAGTTGTACTGATAGCATCATTAAGGTTCTGCCGACAGCAGAGTTGTAGTCATGTGACCTCAGTCTGTAAACAAGTGATTGATATTATTGATACAATGTCTCACATCACTTGTATGATGACACTCATTGACCCAGGTCACCTTGCCCCCTGAGGTTCCTCTTTCAGAAAACAAAACATTGCTCGGGACCTTGAGCCTTCATGGGTCTTAAATATAAAAAATACAACACTACTTTTAATCTATAGTTGTGTTAAAAATATAGAAATTATTTTATTTGTGAAATGATCACATTATCTTGTACAACTAAACTGTGTAAGAAACATCATGGCAGTATTTCAGAAAAAGATGTACAATGTCCACAAACGCTCGTGTAAAACTTGACATGTAGTGCTTAATTGGCCATTGTGAATAATCAAAAAGAAGAAACAAGTCACAAGCTCATACACTGTGTTTAGAAATTAGACCATTCTAATTAAGGAAAATGCCTCTTGATGTCTGAGGGGGAATTTCCTTCACTTCAATGTGACAGTCAGTCTCCCCCGTGATGGTCGACTTGGTGTATAACAGTCACAATGGATTCATAAGTTAGCATGGCAGGATGCAACAGAGACAGTTTATACAAGTGTGCTCCAAATATCTCTCTCTATAAAATGCTGCATATTGAACTGAAAAACGAATCTTAATGTTCTTCTTGACCAATATCACAAATGTTCAAATGTGACTGGCCACCACAGCAGGTCCACTGACCACCATAGCAGGCCCACTGACCACCACAGCAGGTCCACTGACCACCACAGCAGGCCCACTGACCACCATAGCAGGCCAACTGACCACAATAGGGGCACCACTGACAACCATAGCAGGCTCACTGACAACCATAGCAGTCCCACTGACCAACATAGCAGTCCCACTGACCACAATAGGGGCACCACTGACATCCATAGCAGGCCCACTGACCACCATAGCAGGCCAACTGACCACAATAGGGGCACCACTGACAACCATAGCAGGCTCACTGACAACCATAGCAGTCCCACTGACCAACATAGCAGTCCCACTGACCCACCAGGGGCACCACTGACATCCATAGCAGGCCCACTGACCAACCATAGCAGTCCCACTGACCACAATAGGGGCACCACTGACAACCATAGCAGACCCACTGACCACCATAGCAGACCCACTGACCACAATAGGGGCACCACTGACATCCATAGCAGGCCCACTGACCACCATAGCAGGCCAACTGACCACAATAGGGGCACCACTGACAACCATAGCAGGCTCACTGACAACCATAGCAGTCCCACTGACCAACATAGCAGACCCACTGACCACAATAGGGGGCACCACTGACATCCATAGCAGGCCCACTGAAAACCATAGCAGGCCCACTGACCACCATATAGCAGCAGGCCCACTGACCACCACAGCAGGCCCACTGACAACCATAGCAGGCTCACTGACCACAATAGGGGCACCACTGATATCCATAGCAGGCCCACTGACCACCATAGCAGGCCCACTGACCATCATAGCAGGCCCATTGACCACAATAGGGGCACCACTGACATCCATAGCAGGCCCACTGACCACCATAGCAGGCCCACTGACCACAATAGGGGCACCACTGACAACCATAGCAGGCTCACTGACAACCATGGCAGTCCCACTGACCACAATAGGGCACCACTGACAACCATAGCAGGCTCACTGACAACCATAGCAGGCCACTGACCACAATAGGGGCACCACTGACAACCATAGCAGGCTCACTGACAACCATAGCAGGCCCACTGACCATCATAGCAGTCCCACTGACCACAATAGGGGCACCACTGACATCCATATTGGAGTTTTCTTCACAAGCTTATTGCATTGAATGAAGATCAGAGAATATATACAGGGAAGCTGAGTTGAAGTGGTGGAGGTAAATGAGTGTGGAGTCAAGGTGTTTTAATAACAAGGAACACTGAGCAGCCTAATTATTCAAGTAAATCATACTTTTGTTTAGAAATATGGACCAGGATCAATACCACAACTCCCTATCAATGTTCGTTTACTAGCAGCTCCACCTGGTGACTTAGCAGCTGCAGTAGTGTGCTATCAGCTTGTATTTGATGTATTTGATGTATTTGATGTATTTGACACAGGTGTAACTTTCTGATTATCAAGCCAGGTATTCCCCACTGTTTGGCTTCATCACCTGCACTCATGCATCTGACATGATACACAGGACAAACAGTTCATCAGTACATGCCTATTATCATACTTCCTTGGACTGGGATGACACATACAGCTTATCTGTTTTCCGTGTCAAGTGACAGGATAATCTTTCTCTTGTTGGTTGTTTAACACTGCAGTCAGCAATATTTTATCTATATGAAATAGTCGGTAAATATCGTCCATCAACACTCAGTTTGGAGATGACAATCCAGTGATTAACATCATGAGCATCAATATATGCAAATGGCATCTGATGAAACGCAGGAACCAAGTCAGAGAGTCTGACAACTTGATTACATTCGTCACATATAAGAAGCTGAGGACAATGTCTGACCTTCAGGACGTTTATCTCCAGGAGTGACCAAGGATACGACCTTTCCCAAACTTTGAAAGACCAATGAAATGTTTGACAAGAATGTGGTACAAGCTAGTCAGAAAGCTTAACACTCAAGCTTAAAGCAACTAGTATCAAAATGGTCACTTTCATTCCAGATTATGCTTTGAAAAATATCTGATCTAAGTCTTCCATACACAATTTAAGACCTGAACAAAGGAAGGTTCTGGGATTTCTAGCATGTGGTTGAGATTGCATGGCAATAGTTCTGGGGCTTATTCAACTGGAGTGAAACAATGTTTCATTTCATACAAATGAAATTTTAGTTCAGAGATAAATACAATACTTTTGTCTCCCTCAAAAACAGAAACAATATTATGATGTACATAAATGAATAATATGATAACATATGGTATATAATAAAACATGTAAACAGTTTGGAAATATTGAAACATGCATATGTTCTGAAAGTTGAGAGTAATGCAGTCTTGAAAGAGTATTGATACTCTTTGCCCAAAGACCATATTTTGTATGTGAAAATTTCACTATCACCTAACACTGAAAAATACTATTGTAACACAACATTATCACAATACTGCAACCAATGATACTTGAATCAAATCCTGCAATAAATATTCATATCTGACATTCGAAACCAACAAGTGCATTGAATGTGGTTCAGGATATTTATCTCAGGTTATCAACACCACTCTGACCCCATGCCCCAACTGAGAGGTCACCTGGCAACCTGTGTTTCACTTCCTGGTACCCATCTGGCCCCATTACTGAACTAACCATATCCAAGCCAGGCAGGTTTGGGCTTGACATTAGCCCTGTGTGCCTTGGTACTGTGACGGTCACATGTTATCAGCAGAAATTTATCAGCACTGCCCTTGGCAAGTGTTGTATATATTTTTGTATTTCTAATATACGATTTTATGAAACAAACATGGGTAACTTAATAAACATTGTGGTAAAATAACGCCTCGAAAAACCCATTGCAGATATAGTCCAAAATACAGTGGAAGCTGTCTAAACCGGCACTCGTCGGGACTAAAGAAATAATCCGGTTTAGACAGTGTGACGAATTGTACAGATGACACGGGAAACGGAATTGATAGCTGCCGGAATGCACAGCTTTTAAATGGTGATAAATGCAGTAGCCATGGACGGGACTGAGATTTTATGCCGGTGTTGACAACTTGCCGGATTGGACAACTGCCGGTTTTGACAGCTTCCACTGTAAATTACAGCCATATTGTTTTACATATGCACTCATGAATCGGCAACAGTGTAAAAGGTCTAGTTGCATGGTGTTTGCAAGGAGCTACAGGGGAGCATTTGTTGATGTAAGGGTGAGATACATCGAGGGGTTAACATTGTGTATGAGGGTACTGCAGTCCCAGAGATTATGCTTGGACGAGAAGCTTGGGTACTCTGTTCAGGTACAAGCAACTCAGGTACTCTGTTCAGGTACAAGCAACTCAGGTATACTCAGTTCAGGTACAAGCAACACAGGTATATTCAGTTCAGGTACAAAAGTAACTCAGGTATACATAGTTCAGGTACAAGCAACTCAGGTATACTCAGTTCAGGTACAAGCAACTCAGGTATACTTAACTGATGTACAAGCAACTCAGGTATACTTAGTTCAGGTACAAGCAACTCAGGTACTCTGTTCAGGTACAAGCAATTCGGGTATACTCAGTTCAGGTACAAGCAACTCAGGTATACTCAGTTCAGGTACAAGCAACTCGGGTATACTTAGTTCAGGTACAAGCAACTCAGGTATACTTAGTTCAGGTACAAGCAACACAGGTATACTTAGTTCAGGTACAAGCAACTCAGGTATACTTAGTTCAGGTACAAGCAACTCAGGCATACTTAGTTCAGGTTCAAGCAACTCAGGTATACTTAGTTCAGGTTCAAGCAACTCAGGTATACTTAGTTCAGGTTCAAGCAACTCAGGTATACTTAGTTCAGGTACAAGCAACTCAGGTATACTTAGTTCAGGTACAAGCAACTCAGGTATACTTAGTTCAGGTACAAGCAACTCAGGTATACTTAGTTCAGGTTCAAGCAACTCAGGTATACTTAGTTCAGGTACAAGCAACTCAGGTATACTTAGTTCAGGTACAAGCAACTCAGGTATACTTAGTTCAGGTACAAGCAACTCAGGTATACTTAGTTCAGGTACAAGCAACTCAGGTATACTTAGTTCAGGTACAAGCAACTCAGGCATACTTTGTTCAGGTTCAAGCAACTCAGGTATACTTAGTTCAGGTTCAAGCAACTCAGGTATACTTAGTTCAGGTACAAGCAACTCAGGTATACTTAGTTCAGGTACAAGCAACTCAGGTATACTTAGTTCAGGTACAAGCAACTCAGGTATACTTAGTTCAGGTTCAAGCAACTCAGGTATACTTAGTTCAGGTTCAAGCAACTCAGGCATACTTAGTTCAGGTTCAAGCAACTCAGGTATACTTAGTTCAGGTACAAGCAACTCAGGTATACTTAGTTCAGGTTCAAGCAACTCAGGTATACTTAGTTCAGGTACAAGCAACTCAGGCATACTTTGTTCAGGTTACAAGCAACTCAGGTATACTTAGTTCAGGTTCAAGCAACTCAGGCATACTTAGTTCAGGTTCAAAGCATACAGGTATACTTAGTTCAGGTACAAGCAACTCAGGTATACTTAGTTCAGGTTCAAGCAACTCAGGTATACTTAGTTCAGGTTCAAGCAACTCAGGTATACTTAGTTCAGGTTCAAGCAACTCAGGCATACTTAGTTCAGGGTTCAAGCAGCTCAGGTATACTTAGTTCAGGTACAAGCAACTCAGGGTATACTTAGTTCAGGTTCAAGCAACTCAGGTATACTTAGTTCAGGTACAAGCAACTCAGGCATACTTTGTTCAGGTTCAAGCAACTCAGGTATACTTAGTTCAGGTTCAAGCAACTCAGGTATACTTAGTTCAGGTACAAGCAACTCAGGTATACTTTGTTCAGGTACAAGCAACTCAGGTATACTTAGTTCAGGTACAAGCAACTCAGGTATACTTAGTTCAGGTACAAGCAACTCAGGTATACTTAGTTCAGGTTCAAGCAACTCAGGCATACTTAGTTCAGGTACAAGCAACTCAGGTATACTTAGTTCAGGTACAAGCAACTCAGGTATACTTAGTTCAGGTTCAAGCAACTCAGGTATACTTAGTTCAGGTACAAGCAACTCAGGTATACTTAGTTCAGGTTCAAGCAACTCAGGTATACTTAGTTCAGGTACAAGCAACTCAGGTATACTTAGTTCAGGTACAAGCAACTCAGGTATACTTAGTTCAGGTACAAGCAACTCAGGTATACTTAGTTCAGGTTCAAGCAACTCAGGTATACTTAGTTCAGGTACAAGCAACTCAGGTATACTTAGTTCAGGTACAAGCAACTCAGGTACTTAGTTCAGGTACAAGCAACTCAGGTATACTTAGTTCAGGTTCAAGCAACTCAGGTATACTTAGTTCAGGTACAAGCAACTCAGGTATACTCAGTTCAGGTACAAGCAACTCAGGTATACTCTAGTTCAGGGTATAAACAACACAGGTATATTCAGTTCAGGTACAAGCAACTCAGGTATACTTAGTTCAGGTACAAGCAACTCAGGTATACTTAGTTCAGGTACAAGCAACTCAGGTATACTTAGTTCAGGTACAAGCAACTCAGGTATACTTAGTTCAGGTTCAAGCAACTCAGGTATACTTAGTTCAGGTACAAGCAACTCAGGTATACTTAGTTCAGGTACAAGCAACTCAGGTATACTTAGTTCAGGTACAAGCAACTCAGGTATACTTAGTTCAGGTACAAGCAACTCAGGTATACTTAGTTCAGGTTCAAGCAACTCAACTCAGGTATACTTAGTTCAGGTACAAGCAACTCAGGCATACTTAGTTCAGGTACAAGCAACTCAGGTATACTTAGTTCAGGTACAAGCAACTCAGGTATGCTTAGTTCAGGTACAAGCAACTCAGGTATACTTAGTTCAGGTTCAAGCAACTCAGGTATACTTAGTTCAGGTTCAAGCAACTCAGGCATACTTAGTTCAGGTACAAGCAACTCAGGTATACTTAGTTCAGGTACAAGCAACTCAGGTATACTTAGTTCAGGTACAAGCAACTCAGGTATACTTAGTTCAGGTACAAGCAACTCAGGCATACTTAGTTCAGGTTCAAGCAACTCAGGTATACACAGTATGGTGTGGTGCCTGAATCATCCCCAATTATATCAGACTCACATTCATTAATGTTACTGTGGTATAATTGTAAACATGTATTGATCGGGTAATTTGGCCGGACAGCTACTTTTGTCACTGTGTCAGTCTAGTTAGGCTGAAAATGAGGCTATGGCAGTGAATGTACCCTGATTTATGTCAAACAAAACAGGGTAACATATACTGAATACTTGAGTGTGATAGGGATACCCCTGTAAAATCTTGTGTACTTACATTGAGAAGGCGGAGGACGATCGGTACGTTGTTCTCCGCATCACTCTGGCAGGCAATATGGAGGGGGGTGTTGCCATCATTGTTCTGACAGTTCACCTAGATAAGGAATAAATATCAAGCTAATCAGAAGCATACTCCTTTCCAGTAGGGCTCCAATTGACATGTGACATAAGGGTCGAAACCTTATGTTAAGGTGTGGGGAGTACATGATAGGAGCAATAGAGACATGACAGTATTAGTGATGAAGTAAAATCTGAGTAAAACTGTTGTATGATGTGGTCACTGCATAATATAATGTCAAACACTTTACAGGCATCTTCAGGATATATAAAATAGTGCGTGGGTGGGGTGTGTTTTAGGGGCCGTACATAATTTGTGTTCAGGGGTGTGTGGTGGTGGAGGTGATTGTATGGGTATATGTTGGGTGTGGGTGTCACCCATTTTGTTCTGGGAAGAAGGGGGGGGGGGAGCAATTTTGTGTGTATAAACTAGTGGTGTGACGATTCATTGATACGCATCGATGCATCGATCCATGGACCACTGATAAGATGAATCGATACAAAGTTTTACATTATCATATATCCCGATACGATACTTCAGATGGGCCACAATACATTGATGTTTTACTTTGAATATTGCCGAATCGCGAGATCTGTCAAGAAAGACTTACTTTTGTTTGATGATTAAAATATATATATACTTATTTTCCCTTCATAAGTTTCTCGGAAGTCATTGATTTTGTACATAAATATTAGGAGAGGTTATTCACATTGTACATGCTTCTCCATAAAAATCATCACCACCCCTAGCCATAAATTATTGATGGTCCCTTAAAACACTTTGAGCAGCAGATCAATTATGTCATGGTATGGCAAGATGGTGTGAAGGGAAAGACTGAAGTGATACAAGTCCCAGACATTTACCGCTCTAGTGACATCCGACAGAATAGCTACCGGTAATCCAATAGAAACAGTGCAGACAAAGCTAGAAACCTAATCGGGGCAAACACATAATCACAGGATCCTGGCCGGTCTAGGGGAGGGAACGCTGTACACCTCCTAAGATGACTGAGAGACCAGTGCTCATCAGCTCATAATATTTCAAAAGCCATAAAGTTCACAGAGTGCTGGAGATATTGTCTCCTAGTTTTCAGCTATTTAAAACAATCAGTAACCATGGTAACTATTTAATAGCATTTAAGCATAATATATATAGCTATATCCCTGTTACTAGTATATGTTAAACAATATGTAAGCATCAAGTGTCTCTGAAACCTTCTGATCATAAAATATTAAGAAACATCACAGACTTAATGTCTATCCTTAGGAACTCAAGAATGATGATTCTTTAATTGGATGAGTTAAGAAAGATCCGCATTTGCACAATCTTCAAATCCCTGTTGTGAAAAACCTAAAGTAACCAATCAGCATATGCAGGTACGTGGGAAAACACACTGAGTGTGAAGTGGCGATACAGCCAGCAATAACAACATATTTTACCAGGTCAAATGCCATCAGCTTCTCATGATTGCAGCACTTAGTTTGACATTTCCCATTGTCAGGACTGCCACACGTCAACAGAAGCTATTACAGAGGTCAGAGTTCAACTCACCGAGGCACCATTCTGTAAAAACATCTCCACAAACTCTGTTTCCCCTGCGAAGACGGCCATGTGTAGGGCGGTGTTGCTGGAACATGACAGGGCATATGTAGTTGATCAGTGCCCCAGGGGGCACCATAGAGGGGCGTGGTCACATATGGTGTCCATGTGGCTGGGTGGAGGACTTGAGACAAGTGTTTGGCTTAACCACTGGCCACGTTTACTTTCATACAAAGATAAATAACGACTGCTGACTCACACATCACATACAACCATTGCTCAGATTGACGACAATCTTAAGAACTTTCCAATGATTTAAAATCCACTGAGATATTGTTATACTGTTGGTGCTACGTTCCCACTAGTTTGAGTGCATTTTTTAATTATTAATATCTTCATTTAACAATATTCCAGATGTATGGTGGTGGTCTGTAAATATTTGAGTCTGGGCCAGATAACCTAGTGATTGACATCATGAGCATATATATCGATCTATGCACTGACCAAGTCAGCAAGTCGGAACACGATCCTGTTCGTCATCTCTTATGACAAACATGGGTTGCTGGAAACCTAATTTGGAAAATATCTTTAATGATAAACATGATAACTATATATTTTTTCACAAAGACAAATATTTGTTGCCATGGAAACAGTGTAAACTTACCCCTTTATGTCTCTGCCATCAACATCAGCAGAGTGAAAGATAAGCGTCTCTGCGATAGTCTTACACCCTGAAAACAACACAGAAATAGTCACTTATCTTAATCTGCATTCAAACAGTGGATGGGAAATAGCTGAGGTACAACAGACCAGCTATAAGAATTACTTGGTCTTTGTCAGGGAATAAACAGCGCTCAGTTTCTGCCAGGGATTAACATTATCAATTCACAACTCATTATCCATATGCCGCTCATTACCATTTAATGAGAATAAAGAAAGGTAAAACATACAAGGGAAAAAAGAAAGAAACTCTAAACAGAAAATTTACAGAGGTAAACTGGTATCATGGTAAGCTGTTGTGTGTTTGTGAACCATGAATAACATCAGATCGTAGCGTTCTCTGCAGTGAACATCATCTTTCTTTGGAGTAATCAGCATCGTGAACTGCTAAACATACTAAAATGCAAATACTGTCAACTTATTTTCCTTTGCCAGTGATAAAATTGAGATCTCTTTTTTCATTTCTTGCCGTGTCTGGATAGGTTTGATTATTTAATAATTCATGAAACCCATAAATATATCATTTACTTTTGAAGGTATATTTTCATATCATGTTTTTTACATTACTGACACTGCAAAGAAGGAATCTATTTTCAAAGTTCCACAATTTACAAGGTAATGTTCATTATTCAGTGACTGTGAGCATTGTATAAATGACATATCATACATGTATGGTTGAGGTCAGAACTAGCACATCATCTATAGTAATTGTGAAACTCTGTGATCATTGTATAAATGACATATCATACATGTATAGTTGAGGTCAGAACTAGCACATAATCTATAGTAATTGTGAAACTGTGTGAGCATTGTATAAATGACATATCATACTTGTATAGATGAGGTCAGAACTAGCACATCATGTATAGTAATTGTGAAACTCTGTGACCATTGTATAAATGACATATCATACATGTATAGATGAGGTCAGAACTAGCACATCATGTATAGTAATTGTGAAACTCTGTGACCATTGTATAAATGACATATCATACATGTATAGATGAGGTCAGAACTAGCACATCATGTATAGTAATTGTGAAACTCTGTGACCATTGTATAAATGACACATCATACATATATAGATGAGGTCAGAACTAGCACATCATGTATAGTAATTGTGAAACTGTGTGAGCATCACACCCAACAGCCTAAAACGGGTCATGAAATCAACACAATTCACCATGTGTATCAAGTAAAATACTCAATCAGCAACCAATAATAAGATAATGTTTGCTTTACTTCACATGCCTAAAAGTTCAATTCGTGTCAGTTGAAATCTATGACCCTGTTCCTTGGAATCAATGGCAGGAAAATTACAATGAGTGAGTGAGTTTAGTTTTACACCGCTTTTAGCAATATTCCAGCAATATCACAGCGGGATGCACCAGAAATGGACTTCACACATTGTACCCATGTGGGAAATCGAACATAGTCTTGAGCGTTACGAGCGAAGGAACTTTTACCACAAGGTTACCCCACCGCCACAAAATAAAAATGAGATAGGTCTCAACAGCTACCATGAATCATCAGCTACGATATAATTCACTAATCACTAGAACATTTATCTACTCACATGAATGATGACATTAGTTCAAATCCTTAATCATGATGACTTCTTGTCTGTAATTCTGGTTTGAGTCAAATTGAAGGATGTAAATAGGCTATATATATCATACTTCCTCAGACCATCATGATACATTGAAATACTTTGTTTTTCAACCAATCACTAACCAATCCTAAGATCAAGCCAGTCCCTAAACACCTCTCAAAGGATGATCTTTTCACATTTCTTCATGATAAATTCCGTCCCGAAACATAATTAGTTAAATTTCTGATGTTTCGCTTTTTGTTCAATCTAATCCTACCAACACTACCATAGGCCTGTTTTTGAATAACAAACACTGTAGACATTTCAAATGGCAAAAAAAGGACTGTCTCTATCCTCTTATGATTTAGTACAAGTTTGAAAATGGTTTCAAGTGGTTAAGATATTGAAACAATAGAACCAAATTATAACCTGTCCTACCCTTTCACAATTCACATATAAAAAGAAATTAAGAGACACAAGGACTTTTAATGACGCCTTGCAGCAGATCATGTACTTAAATTATTCATTGAGGGAGTATTTTGTATCCACTTCCTGTTTTAGCCTCCCACAATCCCCATCCCCACAGCACACCATCCTGATTGATGCCTGCAGGCAACTACAGAAGCCTTGCTCCAATAAACAACCACCTTGGGGTAAAACCACCGAGCCCTGACAATTAAACATGTCATCAATTACACCTGTCACAATACTGACCTTAAACATCTTAAACCTAAGAAGAGATTAACACTAAACTAGAAATGTTTGGACCATTATTGGAAGTGTGCAGGACATTACATTTCCAAACATTGTCACAGTTCAGGAAGACAAATGGTCAGAACTGTGTGGGCAATGACATGTGAGCTCTGTTACCGACTTCTTCAAAAACAACCCACTCAATCATCTGGGTTAAGCTTTAGGGAAGGTTTCAAGATGGCTGATGTTTGTAGACAGATTACGTGAGACTGTCTGGGGCACGATCAGCTCAAAGAGTATCAGTCAATATGTGATATCGATCAACCATATATAGAAAGATACGATACAAGGCAGTTGTATATCACAATACAGAGAAAGTACGTATAGGTGAATGTTTCACTGTGATTGACGGCAATGTACAGCATATATCTAGTGAGTCACAACACGATCACAGAGGTTTTCACATACATCAAGAAGGTTTCACATACATGAATTTTGATGCTGCTGGATGATTCTACGAGTATTGGGGTATAGTCGTAGGCATCAAGTGAATAGTGTCAACATGGTCATACTCATATCCTCGATGACACTTCCTGTGCACTCAGACATATCTAACTCCAACTGTGCTAAAGTTGCATTTGATGTTCAGGGGTGGCTGATATTCGGTTTGAGATCATCATATGTATTTATTGTTTCAGAGCTCAAACAGGTGCTCAAAAATAGTTTTATTCAAATAAGTGAAAAAAAGGTAACACTATCTTTATTCTTCAGTCTCCAAGAAAAGGTTGGTTTGTAGTTTAACACCACTCAGCAATATTCAAGCTATATGGTGGTGATCTTTAAGTAATCAAGTCTGGTCCAGACAATCCAGTGATCAACAGCATGAGCATTGATTGACACAATTGGGATACGATGACCACCCGATCCTGTTAGTCGACTCTTACAACAGGCATGGGTTACTGAAGACTGACTCTTATGTGGATCTTCACAGGTCCCAAGGTAGAACATTAGTTTCTTCACAGCATATGTGAAAAACGACGTCTTCTTACCACCTTTAGAAGAAGCCCGTACCACCATCCAAAAGAAATATCATAAATACAATAATGGTTGCTTTCTAATTACAGTGATTACATGGTAACTGTCAGAACAAATATATATTTTATACAAGCTGCTCTAAGGGGAACCATTTTATGTACATTTGTACAAACTCCTAACTTCCTGAACTCATTGACAGGGAAATACAGCATATCCTTGCATGACACACAGGTTTTAGCTTTCCTTCCATCTTTGCTGGATTTCTTAACAAAATATATTCATAAATGTTTTTGGTAAAATCTATAATCACATATGAAAGCAATATACTCAGTATACCATTATGAATGTTACATTAGGAGAGAACATTTACATAAATAGTATAATCACTGGTATCTGCCAAGCTGCATAATCAACAAAACTTTATCAGGCCATAATGTCAGTATTATGCTGTCTCATAAGGAAACAATTAACTGATCCAGTTGTATAATACTGAAGTTAGTAAATATGTTTTACTGACATTACATCGACACAAGTAGCTACACTGACATGTGGGATAAATCATCAACATTTTGAATAACAATATGTAGCTTCTCTTTAAAAACATCTTCAACATCTGATTCCAAATACTGTCAGTTAAAAAAAGTATTACCAAGTAATAAAGCATATTGAAATATTGTTATGTTATACAAATGTGATTAAATTACTGTTCGTCAGAACAGAAAACATTCCTAGGTAGCTGGGAGAGTATCGAATATCTAGTTCTTTTTAACTGTGTTTAGCCTCAAGGTGTCAGCCTGCGTAGGAGGCACTCCCCTAGCGTCATCATGTTCTGGTTATCAAACTCCTCTTATATTTTAAACATCACTCTGAAGTTAACAGATCCCTGATTGTGTTGCTCTCTCTAACAAGAATAGGGGAGTTCACTGGTGGGGTAGCCTAGTCGGTAAAGTGTTTGCTTGTCATGCTGAAGACCCGAGTTCAATTCCCCACATGGGTACAATGTGTGAAGCCCATTTCTGGTGTCCCCGCCATTTATTGCTGGAATATTGCTAAAAGCGGCGTAAAACTAAACTGAATGATTATATTATTTTTACATCAGGTAAACATATTCAACAGATTACATTCAAATTCTGCCCAGCAACTTTACACGATAAGCTGACATGTATAAATTTCCTTTCCATCTGAAATGACCAGGAGTTTGAAATGATATGAATCACATTATCCAGTGAAAAAGAAAAAGAAAATTAAATAAAACCATAAATAAAATACAAATCTGTTTCAGGATGTCATACACCTATCATCATAACATCTATTGATTTGCAGTTATCAGCGAACTAATATGATAACTGTTATGTTTCACTGAGTATATATACTGTTGACAGAACAACGCCTCTGTACTCTGATGAGTGGAACATACCCATTTGTTTGAAGATTTGAGTGATCTAGGTAATATCAAGTCCAATCTCATAAAAATCTGATCTACTGTTTTGATAAATCTGTAAATCTGACAAGATGTGAAAAACATTCCACAAGAGGTCAAGTAAGGTGAACTTCCATATCTGTCAATCAGCTGACTACTTAATCCTCCTCATGAGTGAGATATCTATTTACTGCAGCTTATCTGAATTTTGTTCCTCAATGACGGAAGATAAATGGATGACGTGAATACACTGGTCATGTTGTTTTGTGAATATTTTGCATCCTGGATTTTCTAAACATCCAAAGTTTTGTTTACTATGTAGGAAACATTTGTGCCTCTGTGGCGTTGGAAGTTTAACAGTGAATCCTAATCCTACCGGGAACCCATTAACTGCAGGGTGAACAGAGGCACATCTCAAACAAAATCCCTTGCCTAAGAGATGTTGTTTTGTGATTGTTTTCATCAAATTCATAACATCTAAATCGGCAAAACAGGAGGCAAAGAAGTATACAAAACAAAGACATTACAAAATTGATAATGCAGTAAAATGGAAGTATTGTACTGACCACAAAATCCCACAAAGCCTTTAAGGTTTTACCTTGACCTACATAACTGAGGGTCCAGGTGACCCTCAAACACTAACTTCATGGTCCATTAGACTTTACAGGAAATATATGAGTAAAAATATATATTCTGAAATGATATGGTGTTGTGTACTGAACAGTAAGATATATTTATTATTTTAACAACAGGTACATTATGTTTCTTGTTGAGAATTTGATAAAATGAATATATTTGTGAATATTGTGATGTGATCTATATTCTTTCTATGTCTATTCTGTACATGTGTGCATAATGGAGGCACATTTCCGCTTTGAATAAACCCTCGAGCCTCCTTAAGGACTAGGTGTTGAGAGTGGTGTAACCTGTCATGGGGTGTTTGTCGGACTCTGACTGAGAGTGTGTCAAATCAGATTAAAACACCTGATCTTACAAAGCCTGTGGCTGCTTCTCATCATCACGATAAGTCACAATGGTGTATGTAAATATCAAATAATTAAAACAATTCTCTTCAACTTGACAATACAAAATCAGTTCCTAAATCAACAAATTGTGAAAATGTCGTTCTTTGTTTTTGTTTATGAAGCAGTCAGCTATATTACTGCTGTCACCGCGGCCTTCAACTAACTGACCTTAGGCCAGACTGACTAGAGGTACCCTGACATACAATCAATCAAGTCATCGAGGATGACCACCCATCCACATTTTGCCATCTGGCTGTTGGGGCCCCGTTCTCATCTTGATTAAAGGGGGGCAAAAAGAGGTGGTACCATGCTCATTAAAACTTAGAATTCTTAGATTAAGAAATTTTGGTTAAAGAGTAATGTCCTTTGGAATAGATATTTCCATTAGCGGTCATCCGGAAGGTGGAATTTTTAATTTTAATGAGCTTTTTAATGTATATTGGCAAAATGTCTCACAATGCATTGTCAAACCCATGTGAGTCAGTTCAGCCTTATTGGAACAGTACACATCAAGGCATCAGTAAAGTCTTTGAGCCATTGAGTATCTATTCCTTTAGTCATGCTGTTATGTTAACCGACACAATGGGTAGTGAGTTCATCTTTCTGGTTTTCAGGAAGCTCCTTATTACCATATGTGATCCTAAATCTAAATACCAGGATGTTATCATGTGTCTGCAGCATACAGGGCACTATACAGATTTGGTATATTATTCTTCTTATTATTATTATTATTTTTATTATTAGGATTGTGTGCTACCTCAAATGAGTCACATGACATATGACACGTCTGAATTACACTGAAGGAAGAGATGCACTCTGTGCAGTCTGAGAAACCTACACTGGGCAATTGAGTAGTGTGCTGTTATACCATTGTTTTTCAAATTTCTACATGAACACTTCTACACAAGCGACCCAACACGAAGTGAGTGCATTTTATAGAAATAATCAGCCTATCTGCAGCTCTGATACGTGGTACCAGTATTTCGATACATGAAAGTGTGTCAGTGTTGTGTGGGAGAAAAAGTGACACAGGTTGTAATTGTTGTCCATAACCTAGAAAGAAACCAAGAGCAGTTGCGAACCAATGATCAGCAGATTCTGGCAAGACAAAGGGACATAACTCTTCATTGCATATTATAGCGCTTCTGATTTCTTTTTCAATTAGTAATATTATATCTTTGTATATGTATTATAAATGATGTTGATATCACTTTGTACATCCTTGCTATCTTGGTATTTATTGCATTCATTTGCATTTATTTGTCTCATGTACAACCGTTGGTGGGTTTTCGAGAAAAAATAGCTGAAGATGAAGATAAAGACAACTGGGCCACCCACTACCCAATACACTGCAATCATCCTGTAGAAGTGATAAATTATGTTCCTGAGATAAATAATATCATATCATAATATACGAAAGTTTGTATGATGATGTACATTGTATGATACAGTTGGTCACTGAGCATATCACAATACATAAGCACACATCAAAGTATCAAACAACAGGTGTATCATGACACAAATCATTCCATATATGTAACACAACATACATTATACTTTGGCATTATGGAAGGTTTTGAGGTTTAAATGAAAACTGCCCAGTAAAAGTTGCCCAGTACCTAATTTTGTTCATTTCAAGATAACTTGTAAACATAATAAATGTTCAAGCCAAATCGGTTATACCATAAACGAATGTTGATACCAATGGCCACCTTTTGTATTTCTTTGATTCAACAAATAATCAAAGATGTAACAAAGTACAAACTAAATATCTGTATATTCAAGTAACATACATCCAACAAACAGTGATCAGAACTTGGCTGTGTGTCAATACACCTTCATAGTAATGTCAAACTGATACTCTCAGCATGTTTCCAAAATTTGTAGGTCAACCTTATTACAGCAACAATAAAATGCATTAACATTCAGTTTGTTTCAGAATCTAAAATACTGATTTCTGATCTAGTGTTTTCAGCTGACCTGGTGTTTTCAACTGTTACAAGAATAGCTGGGTTGCAACTAAAACAATTGGTCAGTGAAATACCCAAAATGCACAAATATTTGGGGTATGGGACCTTAGTTCTCCAAGACAATGTATCTCAGTAACCTTACCATTCAGTGTCGCAATAATAAGAGGTGTGTATTCCGTATTCCGCTCGTGACAATTTATATCTATATGGCCAAGCTCAAGACGTATCCGTCCACCAGTAGACTTGGTGCGGTCCGGCGGACTGACCAGTGGACTCTCCGACCATGTGTTGGTTGTGTTTCGCTTCACATTGTATCCTTTATCCGGGAGCAGCAATTTCTGAAACAGGATGTAGTAGAGCAGGGTGATATTGAAGAAGTACACTCATACTGTCATAGGTAAAAACTCTAGCCCAATCCCACACAAACCATATAGCTCCACAGATAACCACAAAACCACTTCCATGATCCAGAACTTTTCAAATTTTGAATATGACAATATATTATAAATACCAAAGCAATATGAAAAGAATCTAATAAGATCTAATCTGTGGGCTGAGGATAGAGTTGGGGGTAATCTACCCTATCACAACCCAGTCAGTGAAGCAATATCAAATGTTTGTACCTGCAGTATATCTATTTCAATGATAACATAAGGAAGCGGACAAACCATATAATTGCAGTTATAACAACACAAACGAAAAACATAATCATCACCATTCATTATTTAAAATACTAGTATTTACTGTTCTTTCGAGAAGAAAGTCAATTTAAACTTGTTGATAAGAATTGAAGGCTCACCAGAGACCAAAAATAGATCTTTGGCTTTGCTAAACTGTGCAGTTGAGTACCAACCGGTAATTACATCGTGACATAAACGTTATCAGCCACCTGTAGATAATAGTACACGGTCGAGACTGTTGTATTTACCAACAAAAAATATCTGAGCAACACAAAAATGCTTCGACCAAATACCTGAACTTTTGAAGCGTCGTTGTGCTTTACTGCTTTGATCAGGTCGCTTTCTCTTCCCATTTTCTACAAAAGAGATGATGAGAGTCGGCTACAACACTGTTATCGGTAACTGCCAAGTGATGAATGAGTCTACATGCCTGTGACATGACACGCTTTGCTTCCTAAATGTCAATCAACGTAGATCACGTGACACGGAAGTAAACAGGAAGTGAGTCACATGAGATATTCTTATCGACTAAATAGACTAGTTGAAGGGATCTCTGGCAGCCATTCATACTTAGGGATTATAACCGCAAAATGATAATTAACATATTTCAATAGTTTTCTCCACTGTACGTATGTAAAAAAACAACATTTACAATATTTACAAATGTGTATTAAAATGTCTCACTTAGCACACATGTCATACTGTTCATTTTGGCATTATACTGTGCACGTGTTTCTTTAAATACACTATATGGACACTCCATTCGATAATAAACGAAGCGCATAATATATGCATTATAATTGCTAAGATCGGAAGGTCACGTTGACCAACGCTCAGTCATTTGGAACGTGTTGAAACAGCCAAATGCTTGAGTCCTCACTCGAGTTTTATTACCTAGTTATATCAATCAGTGATTAATTATCCCGCTTACTGAAGGTAAGTTTCACACAAGACACTAATTACTCGACCTAAACGCTAATGGATAAGTGATTTGTACGGCCCGGTATGATAGGAAATGTCATACATCTGCAATACAGGAAAACAGTTGTATGGGTAGTCAACTTCTTTATTGCAATGAATGCGACGTTGCGTTACTCTCACTGCGTGTAATCATCCCACTCATTGCAATAAAGAAGTTGACTGTCCATACAACTCGGTTTTCCTTCATCTTTACTTCTAAAATGCCTCTCAAAGAAATCATCAATACAGTCTGTAGATTGCTATACAGCTAGATCAACAGTCTATGAACATAACCGTGTAAACAGCCTCACAAACATGCATCATTTGTTGGATACTCCAGTTGTTAGCCAATAGACTTGAGACGGTTTGTCAAAAACATGAGTTCCCTGTTTCTATACATGTGTTTAAGATTGATAGACCATCGGTACTACCACATGTAATTCTCTATATAATCATGCTCAAATATACTACCCATCAAAAGTTTATACTCGCAATCACTATAAGTTATGTATGTACATATGGTTACAACGAAGATGAATTTCTCCAATAACTTGGGGGAAACATCAACAAACCTTATGCAGATTAATTGCACGAGGATCATGCATCAAATTGGTGAAAAGCATCTGCAAATATCGTGCATGTGAACAGCTGCAAATTGGTGTAAAGTTTTGAAACAAAATCGCCATTTTTCACCGAGTTTCATCATTTATTGAACACGTGACAACTTTTCAACGTGACGAATTTGTTTTACAATACATCAGCTCATGTATAAACAGTGCCTTTAAACTGGGTGGATTATTTTACAAAATCTTGTTTAGAACAGTTGACTGAAGTAAGTGGCTACATTTACACTTGTGAGTCTAAACTTTTGATGGGGAGTATACATAAAGAGGTTCGTGAGTAAAATGTTTAATCTGTATAAAAAAGGATTATATATCTATTCCTACCCACCATGAACACAACATAAATCCGGAAGTTTTCACATCAGTTTTTCACTAGAATACTGCGTGAACGTGAACACCACGTTACTAAATTGTATATATGTTGCTGTACATCTGAAGGTATCAATTGGTCGTAGAATGCTGGCGTCACAACATCCCAGGGTGCCGTTGCACAAAGTAATGTTAACGCTAAGGTGATCGTCAGTCACTTACCTTAAGGTAGACTTACGACAGTTGTAGCACTAAGGTGATCGTAATTCACACAGACTTACGACATTCGCGGCTCTAAGGTGGTCGTAATTCACACAGACTTACGACAGTTGTAGCACTAAGGTAATCGTAGTTCACACAGACTTACGACAGTTGTAGCACTAAGGTGATCGTAATTCACACAGACTTACGACAGTTGTAGCACTAAGGTGGTCGTAATTCACACAGACTTACGACATTCGCGGCACTAAGGTTGCTTTGTGCAACGGCACCCAGAGCAGCGCTATAGGCGCTCTTTCAGCACACCTCTGTACAGGATGAGGGGCGGTAGGATAGCCTTCTGGTTAAAGCGGTCGCTAGACACGATGAAGACTCGCGTTCGATTCCACACATGGGTACAATGTGTAAAGGCCCTTTCCTGCATCCCCCGTCGTCATATTGCTGCAATGTTGCTAAGAACGACGAAAAACCTCACCCACCAGTCCCTCTACGACAAGAAGGGGATTATAGGATTATGTACTCGCTGGAGAAGCGTCGTGACACATGCACAGGACAACATACGACGGTTGCCGTCTTTTTAAGATAATGAACACCCGTGTCAAGTTCACCTGCACACAAAGAAACGAGCCTGCGACGTCCTCTAACTTCTCATGGGTGTCTAGCAACTGTGGTACGATCGCGACTAACCCAGCTAACCCAGCACAGTTGAAATGTTTGCCCTGGTCCCCAAACACTCATCCGTATGCACGCTCATGAATTCCAGGTCATCTTGACCTGTCTTCATCTACATTAATCTAAAACTGTTTCAGAAGCAATGGGTTTTCTAGGTTCTGACACCGTCATCAAGCAAGTGATGTACAGAGTATGGTTCATGGACATACAATATATTTGAAATTAATTATTGATTGTATTGTATTATATTTAATGGAGCGGCACTCACATAAGCCGTTGGCTTGTTGTGCCAATCCATATTCATGTCATGTGAATATTTCATGAATAAAATATGTTTATATCACAACGTATATACAGGTATATATATATACAGTTGATTGGATTGTGATGTGGTTAACGTTGCAGTGGAGAAGCACAATGCCGATGATCCATGATAAAATAGCTGAAACCAGCAGGATGAACAAAAGAATAAAGAAAGGATTACGACTGATTGTATCTTTGATGAGTTTATGGTATGTTGGTGATATGTAAAAGTCTCGACCACAGTGAACTGGTTGTTGGAGTCTTTCGATGTGATTGCCTCTTTGGAGTTTTCTGATTCTGAAGTCTTTGAGGCTGTTTGTAAGGTATGCTTTGTTCCACTGGATGCTGTGGCTGTCACATATGTGGTCTGGTAAAGCTGTCTTAGAGTCAGCTTTGGATTCTGATCTGTGATGATCTTGAAGTCGTGTTTCAAGGGATCTTGGGTGTTCGAACTGTGTTAGAAATTACACCAAAACATCGCTCATTGCTTTAATGTAGAAGTTATTCTTCCATACATCTCATCCATACTTCAAAATGCCCCTCAAAGCGGTTCTTCGCTCATCTGTCGTCCTCGAATACGAATAATGTGATAACAACATGTTTTGAGGCACGAGAATCGCTTCAGTCTCAAATGACCTCATGGGGGTATAGACGAAATTTGATTTGATTCCACTCACCAAAACTATCAAATACAGAACATTTACACTTGATGAGGACTGAAATTAAATATGACTGTCAAGAATAATTTTGCTCAAATAATAGGGTCTACTTTTCTGTCATACATACTTCTCCTGCTTGCCATTATCTTCCAGAGATAATAGTGTCCACTAGCGTATACATGTATGAAAGGCAGGTTTCAATAGACTTTAATAAAAGCATGCTCCGTGACGATGGCTTGTCATGTGATTTCTTAAACCGGCGAAATAGTTCATAATACCAAATAAGGCATATCAAAACCAGCAATAATGAGATTGACATTACATAATTGGGAGCAGGACAATTCCCACCTAGGTCAATTGCCACCCAGTTATTTTCACTATAATGATGAAAACAATTCCCACACAGGCTTTGAAATATTGAAATATTGACTTTGGTGTAATATTGAAAATGATAAAATATTGAAATTTTGACATTAAAGAAATTTGACTTAGATGAATTTTTTTCTTTGATGTAATATTGACTTTGATAAAATTTTGACATTAAAAAAAATTGACTTTGATGACTGTTTTACTTAAAATAGCAATTAATAATTTATCGTGATAAGACAGGGGGACGTTTCAGTTCGAGCCAATGACTATGGACCAAGACTGAAATTGGGCACAAGGCAGTCGAGCATAGTTCAAGTTGTATGATATCAGTTGCACGGATTATAGTATTTAACAGTGCGGTGCTTGTTTGCAAACTTCAATGAAAAATTATATCAGCGTTTTATGAGTTTGAATATGTTTACTATGTGTATTCAAAATTCTGTAGAAGTACATTTGACGGGAAATTAGGGATGTCTAAGTAAGTTTCAATTTTTTAAAACACGAATCAGCGCGTATAAAACTATTTGCTGCATTGTGGGAACATGGCGCCGCCCAGCAGCACGGTCGTATCCATCTGTCTCGTGCTGAATATTTGCTGTTCTATAGTGATCGTCTTGTTAAACAAATGGATCTACACTCATTACGGATTTCCGAACATCACTTTGACATGCATTCACTTCATCGTCACCACATTTGGACTGTTTCTCTGCAAACTGGGTAATCTATTTAAACCCAAAAGTCTTCCGTTCCTGCAGATGCTGCCCCTTGCGTTGTCATTTTGTGGTTTTGTCGTTTTCACTAATTTATCTCTTGAAACGAACACTGTTGGAACGTATCAGCTGATCAAGACAATGACAACACCATGCATCATTGCCATTCAAACGTATGCTTATTCACGAAGCTTTTCTTGGAAGGTGAAATCTACCTTGGTAAGGACATTTTACGGATGTTTCGCTGCAGCATGTTTCGTGTGTGTTTTTATTGTTTTAAGATCTCCCTGTTTCTGGTTTGTCATACCTAAAACAACATGTGTAGCAAATTTATGGGGCATCAGTTGACTTTACCCGCGCACCGTTTCGGATGGCAGTGAGTGCTGCAGCCAATATCACTTGGTTTGTTTGAAGCTAAGTTCAACTATTCAACTATCTAGAGTTCATTTTGTTTGTCAATGCTTGTGTGCAATCACAAATAATCAGTGCTCGTTTTCATCCAGTCAATGGCACCCAATTGTTTACCTTTCTGTGCATGCGCTGTAGTCCAAGTAGTCACTTTCTCCACAAAACATGAAGTTTAAAACATGATCATCGATGAATTTTTCAGAAACTTCTTGGATTTATTTATATAAAGAGTTAGTTGAATCATTCCTTACTTCACAACTATTGTGAACTAACCCTAAAGATCATAGAGGGGTGCCTAACCCTAATGATTTAAATAGAGGTATTTCATTGGTAAGGGGTACCTTTCTCAAAAGGGGATCAAAGGTATAAGGATAGTTTGGTATAACCTTCCCAAACCCGATCACAGCTAACCCAAAGGAATGAAGAGACACGCCAGATCTGTGAAATGAGAGTCAGGGTCGTCAGTCGCCCCTTAGTGCTTCAATAAGCATGATAAGCTACGCCTGATAAACTGCACTCTTTGCAAAATTTACAATATGTTTGCCATGGAAGCCTTTAATACATTGTTATTGAAATATATTCCTTCTAAAAGTAACTCTGTTTTATGTGGGCCTGTGTTTTCAGATATAAACATGATAAAATTATAATGTCAGACTGCATGTTAAGACTTTCAACATAATTGTAATTTGTATGTTGGCAGGCAGGCATGGAAGTTTGAATGCTGCTTCAGATTAATAAATGGGGATAGGTGATTGTCTTGGGGTTACTCATGATATAGTAAATCTGATGCTGAAACTAGTGAAAGATCATGTGTTAAACATGTTAAAAGAGAAACTGTTCTTTAGTGTACAGTTAGCTCTGCATCTGAACCAAATCTGTCTTTCTTTTTCAGATTCCCATCACAATGGGTGTCTTCCTCAACTCTTTCTACGATGTCAAGTTTAATATCGTTGGTATTAGTTTTGCTTCAGCGGGAGTATTGGTCACATCTCTTTACCAAGTGGTAGGTTTCTTACACAGGTCACGACTGTCACCAGTAGGGGACACTAGTGGGGGGAGGGGGGGGAAAAGATCTTTTGCATAAATTGCAATAGAGACAGTCTATTGCGAGCAACTATTGCAATTGTTTTTTTTTATCTCCTTGAATAGTCTCATTTGGAGTCATTTCCCAAATGAATGTATAGTTTATATGAAATAAATACAAATTGAAGTAGTTTCAGTCTCTTTCAATAACTGACTAGAAACTTGAAACCCAGGTCTTGTAACCAGTTAAAACATAATCAAAGTGAACGAATCTGGTACATTTTGTATTTTGTGCTGCTAATTTATCAACGGAAGCCAGTTACTAAACTATCGATAGTAAAACATACTATCGATGCATCAAGAGTTTTTCGTTTCTACTGTCGATTAATTGCTATCGGAGACTCAACATTTGCAATCCATTGATAGTTCGATGCATCGTTACATCACTAGTTACCGGTGTTCAGAATTATGAATGACAGTCAAGGTTCTTATCATTACGCATGCAACTCCATAACATGATTAAGGGCTCCCTTGAATCAAGTACCATGGCAGCCAATGTCAAGGAATTTGGGGCTCCTCTACAATATGTGATATGTGAAGTGTTAGCTGCCTTATGTCAAGAGTTTAAACAATTAAAAGGTCCTTTGATATAAACGCTTTAGCAGCTGGCCTATAAGGATCACAGGACCAAGGACCCATGCTAATTTCAAACACCACTGTTAAAAGTGTATCTAATTCTATGATATTGTATTGACTTACCAGATCAATTAAAGTTGTATATTTCCATGAACCCTGAAGTCAGAACACTCATACCAGTGGGCTTCTGCTGTCTGAATGAACTGATAACAGAGTTTGATATGCATTGTTAGTGTGAACAATGGAACTGGATTTGTGTTATAGATTATGTTTTGCAGTCTAGTGAATATTGAAATAATTCTGGAAATGTCACAGAAATAGTAATATGAAGACTGCTGTCATGTCTAGTTATTGCCATGTTTTTAAAAGATTGAGTCATGTATGTTTTATTTCAGTGGGTAGGTGAGAAACAGCATGAATTCCAAGTAAACTCCATGCAGCTCCTCTACTACCAAGCTCCCCTCTCTGCAGTCCTCCTGATGTTTGTCATTCCGTTCTTTGAACCAGTCTTGCAGTTCCACGGGGTTCTCCACAACTGGCCCATCGAGGCTCTTGTACGTAGTCATGTAGGCGTTACAGTTCCAGATAACTGATAATGGCAACAGATTGGATTATGTATCTTAACAAATCAGTCATGATATTGATTATGGCAACTGGTATAGAAACACAAAGATCAGGTAACAGAAATGGCAATATTTCAGAAGTTTGAAGTTGTTTTGTTAAATAAAGAAAGAGAGAATGCTAATTCCTTAAGTTTTGAGACATACACCCTTGTCCCCCAAAATTAATTCTTAAAAAGTTGTAATCCCTGTAATGCTAAAAACATGAGGAAGTACAAGTCTATTTCAGTACAATTCAATATAACCTGTTTCTGTACCATTCCATGTTTTAATACACCATGAGCAATATTCTGGAATCTTTGGACAAGGAACAATAAGTGTGTATTAAAAAGTCCACAGTTTAGATAACTATCTCATGGTAAAGCGAGGATAAGTGAAGTAGGATAGGGGATTTGATCATTTTAGTTCCTGTATAAAAAACACAGAAATATGGTTGACTTTTGAGGATTGAAAGGCCATTAATCCCGACCTAACTCCTAAACTTAAGGAATTTATTTTTCTGACATCAAACTTTTGAAATGGTCCATAAGGTACTCGAGTGAATAAAATAATCATGAACACATTTTCATGTTGTTCAACATTGGCGATTAAGTTCTCTTGAATGAAATGCGGAAATTAATGTGTAATGATATCACAACACATGACGTTTACAACATCACAGTCTGTCATCGGTTCACAGTGAAGATTTGGGTACAAATAGGTCTTCAGGAAACCATACTTGTCAAAAGGTGACTAAAGGGATTGGGTGGTCAGACTCACTGACATGAATGTTATTTTATTCTATTTGCATAGATGTTCGTGATGTCAGTTACATAGTCTAAACACAATTACTGTCAGATCATCATACAGATGTATTGTTGCTGAGTGTGGCCTCTAGCATCAAACATATCCAGGCCTACCAAAGAAAACTTTCCCACTGTGCAGAAAAACGCAGAAAAGCCCACATTAATCGTGGAAATAGCAACATTAACATGATACCTCGTTACTGAAACAGTAAAAATGGCAACGAAAGACTATGAAACTGCAACATTTTGTATCAGAGCACTTTGACCTCTACTGCGCATGCGCATTACAATCCACGCTTCTTTCAAATTTCCGAGCAACCTTGCGTGGAAAAAGTATTGAATATGTCGAAATAATTGCTGTCAATCATTTCATACGAATGGAAAGTAAATTAAACAAGTGTGCACACAAGTATGATGATGATAAATGCCAAATAACACAACAGAAATACTTTAGAAAGGGAATGTAATTTTTGTCCAAGCTGGAAAATGTCAACATGCGGTCGAGACTTCCTCTTCGATGTGCGCATGCGCAAAATTGAAGTTTGCAGGCTCTTCATTTTTTTATCCCGTTTTAGCGATTTAAAGTTGCCGTTTTTACTGTTTCAGTAGCGAGGTATTATGTTTATGTGCTATTTCCACGATTAATGTGGGCTTTTCTGCGTTTTTCTGCACAGTGGGAAAGCTTTCTTCGGTAGGCCAGAGATCTATCATTGACATCATGATATGGACAGTGTGTGAGTGAGTGGGTATAGTTTTATGCCACTCTTTGCAATATTGCAGCAATATTCCAGCTTGGGACACCCATGTAGGGACTGTGGTTTTTGTGTGACAAGGGAATGTTTAACCACTTGGCTACCCCATCACACCTCTCCACACAAACAATGCAAAGCGTTGACTGCAGCACACACTGAAACAGACACTGACAAACTCGATACGACATTCACCCATGTAATATGCTCTATTTGTTTCAGGTGATGGTGTTCCTGTCTGGTGTGGTTGCCTTCTCAGTTAACCTTTCCATCTTTTGGATCATCGGCAACACATCACCTGTCACGTATCCTTTATCAGTTTGTGAATACGCATTGCTTATATCACATCATTGAAGCTGCACCTATTTGCGATTGTCAGCATGTCACACATAATTTGAAAGTGAGTGAGTGAGATTGGTTTTATGCAGCTTCTAGCAATATTCCAGCAATATAATGGCAGGGAACACCAGAAATGGGCTTCACACATTGTACCCATGAGGGGAATCGAACCTGGGTGTTTGGTGTGACAAGCGAATGCTTTAGCCACGAGGCTACCCCACTGCCCCTAATTTGAAAGTGGGACTGTGTGTATGTCTGTTGGGACTAGAGGTTGGCTTATTGTGTTCAAGTTACATGTTCAGGAAGTTTGGAATATAGGTTCAATAGCTTCATATTTCCTTTGATATCAAGTACAGCAGAGTGAGATTTTGAACTTGCAAACTGTACAGGTATTGAATCGTGTACCTAGCCATGATGAGGACATCATAATGTTCCACAGACAAGTCTAGGCATTGTGACCTGAAGGCCCTGATGTCACAGTATGTCAGAGGAGTACACAGTCAAAATGTTGCTTTCTGAAATTTATAAGCAATGAAATGACAAAGTCTGTGTTTCTCGAATTTTCAGCATAAACTAAGTTGACACATTTACTATTGAAAATCTAGGCACTGTAACAAATATTTGCAACAGGTATGAAGTAAAATCAGTATCTTTAATTGTGTTCCTGATGGGATTATGAAAGTAGTGCTTTTCTTGGTGTTGATGAAGTTATCTTTTAAGTCAGATATTGATGTCATGGTCTGAATGAGAATACAGGACTCTAGATGTAGCACGGTTGCTTGAAGCAGTGTTAGTCCATGCGTTGATGTTGTTGTTGTTGTTGTTCCTGACTGTGTTCAGATATAACATGGTGGGGCACCTCAAGTTTTGTCTCACTCTCCTGGGAGGCTACTTGCTGTTCGACGACCACCTACAGCTGTTGCAGGTCTTTGGCATTCTCACCACCCTCGGAGGTAGGTTGTCATTCTCACCACCCTCGGAGGTAGGTTGTCATTCTCACCACCCTCGGAGGTAGGTTGTCATTCTCACCACCCTCGGAGGTAGGTTGTCATTCTCACCACCCTCGGAGGTAGGTTGTCATTCTCACCACCCTCGGAGGTAGGTTGTCATTCTCACCACCCTCGGAGGTAGGTTGTCATTCTCACCACCCTCGGAGGTAGGTTGTCATTCTCACCACCCTCGGAGGTAGGTTGTCATTCTCACCACCCTTGGAGGTAGGTTGTCATTCTCACCACCCTGGGAGGTAGGTTGTCATTCTCACCACCCTCGAGGTAGGTTGTCATTCTCACCACCCTCGGAGGTAGGTTGTAATTCTCACCACCCCTGGAGGTAGGTTGTCATTCTCACCACCCTCGGAGGTAGGTTGTAATTCTCACCACCCCTGGAGGTAGGTTGTCATTCTCACCACCCTCAGGAGGTGGGTTGTCACCTCACCACCCTCGGAGGTAGGTTGTCATTCTCACCACCCTCGGAGGTAGGTTGTCATTCTCACCACCCTTGGAGGTAGGTTGTCATTCTCACCACACTTGGAGGTAGGTTGTCATTCTCACCACACTCGGAGGTAGGTTGTCATTCTCACCACCCTCGGAGGTAGGTTGTCATTCTCACCACCCTCGGAGGTAGGTTGTCATTCTCACCACCCTCGGAGGTAGGTTGTCATTCTCACCACCCTCGGAGGTAGGTTGTCATTCTCACCACCCTCGGAGGTAGGTTGTCACTCCTCACCACCCTCGGAGGTGGGTTGTCATTCTCACCACCCTCGGAGGTAGGTTGTCATTCTCACCACCCTTGGAGGTAGGTTGTCATTCTCACCACCCTTGGAGGTAGGTTGTCATTCTCACCACACTTGGAGGTAGGTTGTCATTCTCACCACCCTCGGAGGTAGGTTGTCATTCTCACCACACTTGGAGGTAGGTTGTCATTCTCACCACACTTGGAGGTAGGTTGTCATTCTCACCACCCTCGAGGTAGGGTTGTCATTCTCACCACCCCTGGGTAGGTTGTCATTCTCACACCACACTTGGAGGTAGGTTGTCATTCTCACCACACTTGGAGGTAGGTTGTCATTCTCACCACCCTCGGAGGTGGGTTGTCATTCTCACACACACTTGGAGGTAGGTTGTCATTCTCACCACACTTGGAGGTAGGTTGTCATTCTCACCACCCTCGGAGGTAGGTTGTCATTCTCACCACCCCTGGAGGTAGGTTGTCATTCTCATCACCCTCGGAGGTAGGTTGTCATTCTCACCACCCCTGGAGGTAGGTTGTAATTCTCACCACCCCTGGAGGTAGGTTGTCATTCTCACCACCCTCGGAGGTAGGTTGTCACTCTCACCACCCTCGGAGGTAGGTTGTCATTCTCACCACCCTCAGGAGGTAGGTTGTAATTCTCACCACCCCTGGAGGTAGGTTGTCATTCTCACCACACTTGGAGGTGGGTTGTCATTCTCACCACACTTGGAGGTAGGTTGTCATTCTCACCACCCCCTCGGAGGTGGGTTGTAATTCTCACCACCGGAGGTAGGTTGTCATTCTCACCACCCTCGGAGGTAGGTTGTCATTCTCACCACCCTCGGAGGTAGGTTGTCATTCTCACCACCCTCGGAGGTAGGTTGTCATTCTCACCACCCTCGGAGGTAGGTTGTCATTCTCACCACCCTCGGAGGTAGGTTGTCATTCTCACCACCCTTGGAGGTAGGTTGTCATTCTCACCACACTTGGAGGTAGGTTGTCATTCTCACCACACTTGGAGGTAGGTTGTCATTCTCACCACCCCGGAGAGGTAGGTTGTCATTCTCACCACACTTGGAGGTAGGTTGTCATTCTCACCCACACTTGGAGGTAGGTTGTCATTCTCACCACCCCGGAGGTAGGTTGTCATTCTCACCACCCTGGAGGTAGGTTGTCATTCTCACCACACACTTGGAGGTAGGTTGTCATTCTCACCACACACTTGGAGGTAGGTTGTCATTCTCACCACCCTCGGAGGTAGGTTGTCATTCTCACCACCCTTGGAGGTAGGTTGTCATTCTCACCACACTTGGAGGTAGGTTGTCATTCTCACCACCCTCGGAGGTAGGTTGTCATTCTCACCACCCCTGGAGGTAGGTTGTCATTCTCACCACACTTGGAGGTAGGTTGTCATTCTCACCACCCTCGGAGGTAGGTTGTCATTCTCACCACCCTTGGAGGTAGGTTGTCATTCTCACCACCCTCGGAGGTAGGTTGTCATTCTCACCACACTTGGAGGTAGGTTGTCATTCTCACCACCCACCCTCGGAGGTAGGTTGTCACTCTCACCACCCTCGGAGGCAGGTTGTCATTCTCACCACCCTCGGAGGTAGGTTGTCATTCTCACCACCCCTGGAGGTAGGTTGTCATTCTCACCACACTTGGAGGTAGGTTGTCATTCTCACCACACTTGGAGGTAGGTTGTCATTCTCACCACCCTGGAGGTAGGTTGTCATTCTCACCACCCTCAGAGGTAGGTTGTAATTCTCACCACCCCTGGAGGTAGGTTGTCATTCTCACCCACCCTCGGAGGTAGGTTGTAATTCTCACCACCCCTGGAGGTAGGTTGTCATTCTCACCACCCCGGAGGTAGGTTGTCATTCTCACCACCCTCGGAGGTAGGTTGTCATTCTCACCACCCCTCGAGGTAGGTTGTCATTCTCACCACCCCTGGAGGTAGGTTGTCATTCTCACCACACTTGGAGGTAGGTTGTCATTCTCACCACACTTGGAGGTAGGTTGTCATTCTCACCACCCTCGGAGGTAGGTTGTAATTCTCACCACCCTTGGAGGTAGGTTGTCATTCTCACCACCCTCGGAGGTAGGTTGTCATTCTCACCACCCTTGGAGGTAGGTTGTCATTCTCACCACCCTCGGAGGTAGGTTGTCATTCTCACCACCCTCGGAGGTAGGTTGTCATTCTCACCACCCTCGGAGGTAGGTTGTCATTCTCACCACCCTTGGAGGTAGGTTGTCATTCTCACCACACTTGGAGGTAGGTTGTCATTCTCACCACACTTGGAGTGTAGGTTGTCATTCTCACCACCCCTGGAGGTAGGTTGTCATTCTCACCACACTTGGAGGTAGGTTGTCATTCTCACCACACTTGGAGGTAGGTTGTCATTCTCACCACCCTCGGAGGTAGGTTGTCATTCTCACCACCCTTGGAGGTAGGTTGTCATTCTCACCACACTTGGAGGTAGGTTGTCATTCTCACCACCCTCGGAGGTAGGTTGTCATTCTCACCACCCCTGGAGGTAGGTTGTCATTCTCACCACCCTCTGGAGGTAGGTTGTCATTCTCACCACCCCCTGGAGGTAGGTTGTCATTCTCACCACACTTGGAGGTAGGTTGTCATTCTCACCACCCTCGGAGGTAGGTTGTCATTCTCATCACCCCTGGAGGTAGGTTGTCATTCTCACCACCCGTGGATTTAAGTTGTCATTCTCACCGCCCTCAGAGGTAGGTTGTCATTCTCACATTGCTAGAGGTAGGTTGTCATTCTCGCCACCTTGGGAGGAAAGTAATAATGATTTTGGGGGGTCCCACTTAGTCCTCAATAGATATGTTGCAGTCATGAGTAAAGAGGATGTTACCAATATAGTGGTAAACTGAGAGTAATTCTTTCTATAATTGTGTTTTTTGTCCCTCACTGCAACGCGGAACGGGGACTATGTATTCAGCAGCATCCATATGTACGTCCCGATTCTTGTTAACGCGATATCTCATGAACTGTTGTACCCAATGTCTTTAAATTTGGTGACAGCCTACGTGTGTGTGTGTGTGTGCGTGTGTGTGTGTGTGTGTGTGTGTGTGTGTGTGTGTGTGTGTGTGTGTGTGTGTGTGTGTGTGTGTGTGTGCGTGCGTGCGTGTGTGTCAGACACCAGTCGACTTTGGTGACCATGACCTGATTTTCAAGGTCACCACAACACTTTGACCACCTTTGTAACTCTTGTTAACGTGATATCTCATGAACTATTCTACCCAATGTCTTCAAATTTAGTGACAACCTATATGGGGGGATTACGCAGACATCAGCTCATTTGGGTGACCTTGACCGTATGTTCAAGGTCACCATGACACTTTGACCACTTTTCAAACTTACGTAAACGAGATATCTCATAAAACAATTATGTCAACAGACTACATTGGGTGATTTATCAGACACCAGTCATTTCTTGTATGTGACCCCAAAATAAAACGTAGTAAATATGTTATATATATTTCACTCTTCTTTAGCGGCGAGGGGACATTGCCATCTTAGTGGCAAACACATGTTTATACTTGCAATAATAGCCTATTTCAAATAGCAATATTTATAATGCATTGAATGTTACACACTTGCCTTATACCTTGGAAATGTTTTCATAATAATTCCAAACTGTAAGTTTGTGAAGATAGGGATTAATTCTTGGTTACCTCCCTTTTGTACTTGCTTTGCACATTTCCATCAACTACATCCAGGGCTCATAGAGTGGAGGGTGTCAGTTGTTTCAGATGTGAACGGCATAACAAGTTGATTGCAAACTTGCTGAACCAAATATTACAGGCTATTGCAAGTGCTCTTCAGCTATCAAAATGTAGAATAAAAAATATGTCATTGTATGTGTTTCAATATTTGAAAAATATGTACCATGTTAGTATCTGTATTTGTCTGTTGCAGGAGTGCTTGCCTACACACATTTTAAACTGCAAGAGATGAAGGCCAAGAGTCTGCCTGTAACAGAAAAGCAATAGAAGTCATCTGTGGGAATATGTGAGGATGTTTCTTCACAAGAATCAATCTGTGTTGGAGTCTAATCTGGGGTGATGTGATACAGGGTTGTCATGACAACATCATCATCATGAAAGCGTGTATCTGGCCATTGGGGAAACTGAATGTGTCATGTTTAAACACTGTGTTGTTTGTTGTTGTTTTAGAGATTATATTATATTTTTATATGTTGTTTGAGGACTCTGAACATTCTTGAAGCAGTGTTCTTTCCAGTTAGTGAAAAACAGAAACCACAAGTGATAATATGTGATATCATTCTGAGAGAGGGCATTCAGAAAGAAATGTGTTTCAATAGAACAAATCAAAATAGCTACCGGTAATTAGACATTTTTAGTTTTAGTCAAACTATAAGACAGTGTAAGCTAGTCAATGTTAATAATTGGATCTATCAAACTGCTTGTTTCAGTGTCAGGTTGTGTTGTCAGTTTCAAAGCATTGCAATGCTGACTCTCCAGCCATACCTTGACTCCGCACTCTATATGTGGAGGGTTAAGAATGCTATTTGTAATGAGCTTGTTCCTTGTGACAGGTCATATCATTTAAAGCCAGGGAAGAAATGCACTTTACACATATAAATTGGGCAAATGGTGGAAAAGTTGAAATTGCGGACCCTGAAGGAACATATTTCTTTGAACCATCCCTTTGTTTGGTATTCTCAAATTCCAAAAGGCACTCTATTTGTCCACACTCAGTGGCACATTTGAGAAAAACAAAGTACATTTCTGTCCCAGTTTCCTGAGGAAGACATTAATTTCATTTAAGTATGAAACATAAAGCTCAACTGGGCATAAATATCTGGGTTAGATTCTGTTGCAGTGGGAACCAGTGATGGTTGTAGTAGGTCTTGTATCATGGGCTGACTAGCAATACGGATCACAGAGATAAAACATCATTGACTGGATCATCAATAAATATAGGAGAAGTAACGCTAAGAAAAGAAAGAAAATCGGAAAGAAATTAACATATTTCACTGGTGAGTGGTGGCACATATCCACAGAAATTACTAACAAAACACCATCCTGAACATAATATAGCAGCCCATGAATAATGTCCTATCTGTGTATTGTCTGTGTAAAGTGAAAGTTTATTTCATGACAAAAATATCAACAACACAATTTTCATATTGATGATTAGTAATAATATTTTTCTTATTTCTATCATTTCTGATTTTTATTTATATAATGGCACTTTTGAAAAATAATCAACTACCTTTCTGTCTGTTTAACCAGCCCTAGTTAACGATAGAGCGTTGTAATACTGCAGCACTTCGATCTAGAATGACCACTGCTTTAGTTGTTTGTCTCGTGGTGGAACGTGTGTATGGTTTCAGCTGCAGTGTGTAGTGGTCGATAATGTGGTATAGACACACTTTGTCTTATCTAGTTGTGAGCTGAATGTATGAGATGGCCAGCTTGCAGAGGTTTACGGGATAAATATCAAGTGCTTGGCATCAGACACACTTTGTCTTATCTAGTTGTGAGCTGAATGTATGAGATGGCCAGCTTGCAGAGGTTTACGGGATAAATATCTGGTGCTTGGCATCAGACACACTTTGTCTTATCTAGTTGTGAGCTGAATGTATGAGATGGCCATCTTGCAGAGGTTTACGGGATAAATATCTGGTGCTTGGCATCAGACACACTTTGTCTAATCTAGTTGTGAGCTGAATGTATGCGATGGCCATCTTGCAGAGGTTTGCGGGATACTTATTTGGTGCCTGGCAGTTGATATGGTATCGGCATCGAGTGGGATTCGGCATCAAGGTTTCATCTCCTGGAAACTGTATGTCAGTATTCTTGCCAGGGAGGGGGCCAAACATTTTTAGGGGGATCAGCAGGGTATCCAGGTTTGTTCACAGAACACTTATATTTTGTTTGTTTGTATATTTAAAAAATATCAGGCAAAACATCATGCAACAAATATAGAGAGAATCTCTTGGTCAGTGCCTGTTTCTCAGAAAATGAGAAAATGTAAAATGTCTGTTTTTCTTATCAAAAACATCAGATGAAACAATCTTTTGTTCCAAAATCATGACTTTCGATCATCTGGAACACATCGACAGACAGTTATGAATCAAGTTTTAGCTGGACAATGTGTCTTCCAAATACTATGGCAGGTCCTTTTGCAGCAAGTATTTTGTATCTGAGATGACCGCAAACTTCAAGTTGAGTGCTGGTGATACCTCTACTAAAGTCAATCATGAATCATACTTGTAAATTGACTGAATGTCTATTGTTGTATTGTTACAGGCAATCCAGAAAGAAGGTGGTGTATGGGTCCAGGATATTTCATTGTACATTACTGACGTGATACACTTTATGTGCTCCATAGCAGCAGCTGGTTTCACACAGGGCCTCAGGCAACTTATGTTTACATACCGGGATTTCCTGTATTTAAGCCCTCCTCTTTCACAATTAAAAAACCCATAATTAAGGCCAGGGCTTATATTTGGGAAATGCTTGGCACTGAAGAAAATGATACAAAGACACGATAAAATGGAATGAACTTTAGCATAAACTGAATACTACAGAACACCTGAACCATAAATAATCATTAAGAACTGTCATAAACCTGAACTTGAATGACCCCCCCCCCCCCTCTTTTGATGAAATATTTATAAATCCATTTATACTTGTGAAGCTTCTTTCATCCATTTATATAGAATGTGATGATGTTATGTTTTTCTGTGAGATGTTGACAGGATCTTTTTTCTGTATCTGGGTAATGGCTTTGTGACATGGCATGCTAGAGTTGTCTCCCCTGAGTAGTGGCTACACAAGTTTTGATGTACGATCTGGATGCAACATGTATGACTATGGCAAATTAACTCATGTTTGCTTAAATAATTATAGTCTTCTTCTTTTTCTTGAGTAAAAAACTCCAACTAACAAACTTGTGTTTTAATTTATGAAACACCCCTTCTTTTAATTTTTTGTTCCATAATGATAATTTTTTCTGGGGCATCTTGACATTGTATTTGTAAGACTGAATCCAAAACAGTCAAAGAAGATTATTTATGCTACACGCTTTTCATCTTTATCATGTTCATTGGTGAAATAATGTCACTCTCATAATGTATTTCATTAGCTTTAACTATATTAGAATGAATTCTGAAATATTACGTTTGGAGTCCGAAAATCATTTTAGGCAATGTGAATGTAAACCTGCCTGTTCTGCCAATCAGCAGAATGGGATATAGATTACAGGTAGTAATGAACATTTAAAAACATCATTGGAATCATGAGTTTTGGACTAATCAGGGTCTTTGTATGAATCATGACAAGTAAACATTGAACTGTGTTTGATATTTTCCTGAGGAACAATTTGTGGCATTTGCACAGTAACATGTCTATGTCTAGACTAGATGAGTACACAACCACCTGTCATGCAAGGCTAGATACACCTGAGTGGCTAGGTTAGATACACATGGTGCAATATATGTGTCAAGATAAGATGAAACCTGCAGTGCAATATGGGAGTGTCTAGGCTAGTTGCATCTATGACTGTAGACAGGACGTATGTATAGAAAGGCACAACCAGCTGGTGGCGTTGCACAACTGGTGAGTTAGAAGAGTATGGACCACGTAGTATTTTATTGTGGGATCGTAACACAGCATGTGCACAACAGATCACACAACACTGTTGAACAGTTTTTCAGAGTTTCGTTCATGAGAAAATTGTTATTTCAGTTAATATATGAATAGGTTGGTACTGATAAGATAAAAAGTTGGGAATAGAAGCTTATAGGTTTGGATAGTTGTGTTTTTGTGTTATGGACAGAAAGATGTCACTGTTTAACAACAGGTGATCTATTGTCAGGGAAGTATGGTTTTGGGTCTGTCAACTGCAAACATTCAGTGATGGGCATATTTTTAGTTCTTGGAAATATTTTATTGCATTTCTTATTTTCATGGCAATCCATACAAAACGTAGCTTTCAGGTGATGCTCTTTGTGGAAACTGTTTTATTGGTGAGTTTTTGGTAGATTGTGAATTGTTTTAGCCTGTGTGCATGGTTATACAGGCGTGAATGTTATATACATTTTGTCGCAAGTACAACGATTGAGGACAATTGCATTTAATGTATTGTTTGAGGTACATTTTTCTTAAAAGTACAGAGAGTGATATACAAATGTGGCATTGCCAACTTGAAATTAGTCTTTCTCATTTTAAAACTTCAAATATTAATTTTCTTTGAATAAGTTTTCATGTTCCACCAACCATACATTGAATATAAGGAATCTTTCTGAAACCATTTAGAGGCGAAAATAAGAAAACAGTTCTGACAATGACCAAATCTCTGTGCACTTGGTAGCAGAAGAAAAATGGCTATCTGTATTTATCTGATTCTTGTACAAGTTCTGATGGTATCATATATTGTTATATGATTAAACAAAATACATAGTTTTAGCTGCTTCTGTTCTGTCACATGTATTTATTTTCACTGTTAATAACATTTGAGGGACAATAAATTTTTATTCACTTTTTATGTTTTTGGTTGTTGATTACACAGAACAAACAAAGTTTTGGATGTTCTGGCATTGATGGCCCAGCCATCTTAAACTCTGCAAAATGATGGTACAGAGTTGCAGGCCTTAGTTGTGCCAGGAGCAGATGATCATGGAGTAGAATTGCAGATTTACTCTCATTGAGATCCATGTTACCACTACAGTAGTACAACCTTGTCACCTGTGAAGGTCCAGGTTAGAATGTGCCTTCAGTAACCCATGCTTGTCGTAAGAGGCGACGAACGGATTGGGTGGTCAGGCTCGCTGACTTGGTTGACACATGTCATCGGTTCCCAATTGCGCAGATCGATGCTCATGCTGTTGATCACTGGCTTGTCTGGTCCAGACTCGATTATTTACAGACCGCCGCCATATAGCTGGAATATTGCTGAGTGCTGCGTAAAACTAAATTCACTCACTCACTCACTCACTAGTACAACCATGTCATCGTATCCCGATTGCGTAGATCAATGCTCATGCTGTTGATCATTGGTATGGCTGCTCAAGACCCGAATATTTACAGACCGCCGTCATATAGCTGGAATATTGCTGAGTGCGGCGTAAAACTAAACTCACTCACTCACTAGGTTAAATCAGAAGACCATTAGAGCTGACACTCAGTGACCTAACCATCCTCAGTAATCCATGGGTTAGTATACTCCCTAACCATAAACATATGACCACACTGATGATCACTGCTGTTTATAACCAAGCAAGCACAGGCCGAGTCCCATCACCATGGAAGCCAGGCCAAGTCCCAACACGATGTAAGCCAGGCCGTACCCAAGACCAAGAAGTGCACAGCTTACATTAAAATATGACAATGTTATATGCTTGACAACTTGTCTTGCAGTAAATTCTGCTCACCAGTCACCTAATATCCGTGTTTGCTCATTCGTTGATGAAGATAATTGTATCCTTGTTGTGTAGACTGATGCTAAATCACTGTGTTTTCGTTTAACCGTGATTATTTTCTGACCGAGAATATATAGCAGGAATCAAAGACGTATATACGTCTTTGCAGGAATATAACAATCCCGAGAACCTCAAGTCCGGCATTGGCAGGGTTTACGGACGTCCCTGCACAAAAAACGCTGTTTTCCATGATTTATTAAGCTCCTCATTTCATTGTTATAATTACGAAATATAGAGAAAAGTCAATACCACGCCAATACTACAATCCATATCATCCCTGTGTACCCATGGGATGTTGAGAAGGTGCACCACTGAAAGAGGACACTGGACACAACCCCGTGAACATACTATCTTCTAAAGGAATCACAATATGATAAATATGAATATGATAACTGCTAGTTTTGCCTTGGAGTAGTAAAACGCTGTCTGTGTGTTAATGAGCGGTCATTTGTTTCTCATCTTCAACCTCAACCACAAGAGTGACTGAGTTAGTGAGTTGCCAATCACAGTTTTCCGAAGTGTTATAATTCAGTATCAATATTCCATCTCAGTATATTCACGACGGGGACACCAGAATTTTCTGGGCTTCACACTGATTGTACCCTGGTGGGGAATCGGGAACCCAGGTCTTCACACATTGACGACATGGGTATCTAATGTGTGGAGTCCATTTCTGGTGTCCCCCGCCGTGATATTGCTGGAATAGAGCTAAAGGCGGCGTAAAACCATACTCACTCATTGCCCTCAACTGAAAAAAACTATGTAATACGATTACTAATGATTATTAAATTTTTCAAAATGAATTTCGCAGCCATATACAATTTATACACTACAAAGTAATCATTTGAAAATCGCAGATGCAGTATAAATGAAGATATTGATGTCTACAGTCTGTAGATATTTACCCTTGCTTCCTATTCTTTCCTTGCGTTGTTTCGGTTCATATTTTATTGCTGGTACCATTTTTAGCAGATCTGCACCTTAAGGTCGCCTCGAAGGAATGAAGACGTTTAATTTGTGTCAACCCTGTATTTTATTTTTTTTTTAAATTTCTAAAATGCCACCAACCATTGCAAGCCTGTGATCTGCGGTCTGCAAGGTACGTGAAGGCTACCGACGTGATTTGTTTACAAAGTACACTCTTCAGTTAAGAAGGTTCATTTTCTAACATATTCACTTCCGCGTTGCACGTGGTTGTACATCGCGGAAACACATCATCATTTCCCTCTTGCACAAGTATATATAAGTAGTTAACTGTATCGCCACTGTACTGTATACATAACCCTCAATGTGTTTTAGGGTGATATCCTTTGACAAGCCCTTGGATATTTATATAACAAGAATGTCGGAATGTGGATTGTGTAGCAGGCGTGTCTCATGTGTATTGTATATTCTGACCTTACCTGCTTTGTGAAGGGTATCAGTATAAGTATGGGTTGCGGTCACGTGACAGTGTGTGGGGCATCTGCCCATTTTCTTCTCACGAGATCACTGGAGCTAATACAAGTGACGTCAACTTTTGAAAACATACCGACAAAATGGCGAATGTAGCAACTGCATGAGTGAACACATGCACTCGCTTGAAATCATTGTTTATGGAACAAATATCGGGATATTTAAAGAGGGAAACATAAGTTTTCTTAGTAATACGGAAACACAGAACTGCTCAAGGAGAAACTACGATGTCGGTTTTAGTACGTAAGGTTGACGCAATGATTCCAGTATCGCCCCGGGCTATCGTGTACACGGTATAACGAGGATCTCTAGAAATCACAGCTTCCCGACTTCGCGGAGTGACTATGGCGACACTGGCCTGGAGTTACCTAGTTGTCGTACTTTGCGTGCTAGACTTCCTTCTTGGCACCAGCGGGTTACGTCTTGGAGCATTCAATCTGAAAATATTTGGAACTTCCAAAGCATCTAAACCCGATGTTGTGGAGACAATTGCCAAGGTAGGTTGGGTGACATGTATTACGGTTTTGATTCACGATCTCTTTGCAGCGGAAATACTGACAGGCCACAGGCCCATATATTGTACGATACTCGATAGTCTGTTTGGGTAGTAAGTGTAGATGTACACTGTACAGATCTTATTTCTAACTTCACTGGATAAAATAATGTCTTTAAATTCTGTTACGGACAGTATTGGTATTTGCTCACAATATCAATGCACTAAACTTATCTGGAAACTGAACCATAAGTGGATGTATATTGTTAAACCTAGACTTTCATGAAACAGGCTGATTGAATAAATATTTTACAGTCTACTTTTCTCCAGGAATTTATAATATAATCTTGTTTCAACATCGAATTCTGGAAATGCAGATCTGTATCTATTATGTTTTATTAAGTGCTTGCAAAAGATACTCATCAGATCGAAATTAGGTTTTGAACATAAATCGATTATGTAATGTGAGATAATGTTAATGACGAGTGTCCTTTATTATATATGAACAATAACTTCCCAACGATTATTTCAGTTAAATTTCATTTTGATTCTGCAAGTATAACATGCTACCACGTTTTTAACAGATAAAACCCACTTTTGCTTTCCGGTGTAAAATCAAATCAAATCGTATCACATTTTTTTTATATCTGTACATTGGTATCGTTGATAATCTTAGCCAACATGTTTAACCTGTATGTAAACAAATATAATCAGAAGCGGTATTGGACGGGAATATTGTCTTTTATCCCCAACGTGTACACTAAACTACACAGCCACTGTCACCAAGAAAAGCCTCAGTATGATGTCGTCACAAAGGCGTTGTCACGCACTAGAGCCACGGCGATGACGTGTTTGTATACAAAGCATTAACACAACGACCTTTGAACTTGAGACTGTGTGATAAGAATTAATGGGTTGTATATTTCAAGGGTTTTTTCCATCAACTGCAGATAATATCTCGGTATGACATCATCCTGCTGATGGAGATCCGCGACATCTCGGGGACGGCCACGTCAGTGTTAACGGAGAGACTACAACAGTGAGTTAGTGCACACATAATGTGTGTGTGTGTACAGACGCGTATAGGATGTGTGTTAATGCACACATAATGTGTGTGTGTGTGTGTACAGACGCGTGTAGGATGTGTGTTAGTGCACACATAATGTGTGTGTGTACAGACGCGTATAGGATGTGTGTTAATGCACACACATACAAATTTAGTTATTTCCTGCATACAATGTTGAAAAAACGCTTCAAGAGCGAGAGTGAGTTGTTTAGTGTACGTTTTATGAGTGGGTGAGAGTGGATGAGTGAGTGGATGAGTGAGTGAATGAGAGAGTTGTGTTAGATGGTAGTATGTGTTTCTATCAAGATTAAATAGTTTTTGCTCTTCGTGATCAGTCTACAACAATAATTAGATTCTGTATGAGGCTGTTCTGTTAAATAATGATAAACTCTACTGCTGGATTAATACATGTAATATGTACAGTATATAGTACCTCCTACCTTGTATAGTATACAGGTGTTGGATGGCTGATACAAACTTGTGAAGTCTGCCAATCGGGTCTAGTTCTCCAGAGCAAAGTATTTTTTGTGAGAAATCCCGGGAACTTGTGTCATCAGATATTACATTGTGTTGTCATGAGATATTACATTGTGTCTTTTGTAGACATAGAGATGTAACATCGGCATACGGCTGGGAAATCAGTGATCGCCTAGGACGCACCAAGAGCAAAGAGGAGTATGTATTCATATACAGGTAGGTAACTCTGACATTTCTGTTATGTATTCATATACAGGTAGGTAACTCGGTCATTTCTGCTATGTTTTTATATACAGGTAGGTCACACGGTCATTTCTGCTATGTATTCATATACAGGTAGGTAACTCGGACATTTCTGCTATGTATTCATATACAGGTAGGTAACTCTGGTGTATAACTCGGTCATTTCTGCTATGTATTCATATACAGGTAGGTAACTCTGTCATTTTTGCTATGTATTCATATACAGGTAGGTAACTCGGTCATTTCTGCTATGTATTCATATACAGGTAGGTAACTCGGTCATTTCTGCTATGTATTCATATACAGGTAGGTAACTCTGTCATTTCTGCTATGTATTCATATACAGGTAGGTGTGACTCGGTCATTTCTGCTATGTATTCATATACAGGTAGGTAACTCGGTCATTTCTGCTATGTATTCATATACAGGTAGGTAACTCTGGCATTACTGTTATGTATTCATATACAGGTAGGTAACTCGGTCATTTCTGTTATGTATTCATATACAGGTAGGTAACTCGTTCATTTCTGCTATGTATTCATATACATGTAGGTAACTCGGTCATTTCTGCTATGTATTCATATACTCGGGAAGCAGGAACTCCCTGATTAAGTGTTGCAAGATTCTATTGTAAGCCGTGGTGTCAGGACAGAAACCTACTTCACGATGTGTGAGACTGACTGACTGACTGACTGAGTTTGGTTTTACGCCGCTTTTAGCAATATTCCAGCAACATCACGGCGGGGGACACCAGAAATGGGCTTCACACATTGTACCCATGTGGGGATTCGAACCCGGGTCTTCGGCGTGACGAGCCAACGCTTTAACCACTAGGCTACCCCACCGCCCCCACGATGTGTGAGAGTGTGTAAAGTATTTCTGGCTGCCGCTATTTCTGTTATGCACCACCAGACCCCAACGCATGGTTAATCGTTCTTGCAGTGTTTTAAATTAATTTTATTCTGAGGTTGCCTAACGTTGACAGAATTCCGCACTAAGTTCCCAAAGGCTTACCAGGTACAGGTGTGTTGGTGAATATATAACGCGACATTCTCGCGATTGCAGAGGCGAGGACCGATGCTGTTGACGTTGTTACTGATGCAGGTATTCCAACGTAGTATAGGTGTGACGGTTTGTTTCAGGAAGGACCGGGGCATCAGCGTTGTCGACAAGTACCACTACGACGATGGAGACGAGGCAGCGAAAGAAGATACATTTGAAAGAGAACCCTTTATTGTCCGCTTCCACAGTAACAGAACTGGTAGGGTATATATAATAGCTCCTATCACCCTTTCGCGTAGCTTTCTTAGCAACAGAACAATTGGGGGCGTAGCTTTATCCATTACCCCCTCAGCTAGCTTTAACAGTAAAAAACAGTTGGGGTCTAGCTTTACCCGTGAAACTCCCCCGTAGCGTTTATAGGAGTAGAAATAGTTAGGTGTAGCTTTACCCATGATGCTCTCCTGTAACTTTAGTAGCAACAGAACAAGTTTGGTAAAGCTTTACCTACCACCCTCTCAGGTAGCTTTAATACCATTTTAAGAAGTGAAATATTTCTGACTGCGGTGTGAAATAAGACACAAACAAGCCACAATCAAGCTGAGAAATATTGTACATCAAATCCGGTATAACAGTAACTGTATATTCGGAACACACCAGAGATGAGAAAGCACAGATATGATTTTTCATGTTAGTTTAGTAATTCATATCAGAAAAGGAGTCAGCTTCCAGTCTATGTTCACCTGCGACTGGAATAATGCTAACTGTAAATTTATACCTAACTGTCATTTCAGTGGTTCCCGAGTTCTCCCTCGTGGCCATCCACACCAACCCTTCCAAGGCGCTGGGGGAGATCAAGTCCCTCCTCGATGTGTATCGCGATGTCAAGAAGAAATGGAACAGCGATGACGTCATCATCCTAGGCGATCTCAATGCTGATTGCACATACGTGCGCAAGTCTCATTGGCCAACGATTGATATACGTAACCGGCCGGAATTCTACTGGCCAATTGGAGACGACGTCGACACAACCGTGACCGACACAGACTGCGCTTATGACCGGTAGGAGGGTTATTTCAGTGTGGAGGAATATTTCAACAGGCTGCTTTTAATCCAATTATCCTGTTTCTCTGGAGGAATATTTGAACAGTTTGCTTTAAATTCGATTTTCCGCTTTCTCTGATCTACTGTCTTGTAGATGCTTTTATGCAAATTTAGAGTGTCTACCTATATGACAGGATATGTTAACGCTGAACGCCATGTGCCATCTTCACTGATGTCTGTGATTCATCCTTAGCATAACAGCGTATAATCAATGATGGTAGAAAAATAGGAATCAATAAAATTGAGAGAACTTGTATGTAAAAGAGATATAGATAATGTAATCCTCTTCATGTTTACATGTCCAAATATCTACCCAGGTAAAACATAAAGAAATAGATCCCCTCCACGTACAATTACTTTACTAAGAATAGGTGCACTTCCTTTATTGAAAAATACTGATAGACAGGGTGGATTACCCAGGCAGCGAAGACATTGTAGATTTTGTAACAGTAATAAAATTGAAGATGAATGTTTGAGTGCCCAATATATCACGATCTTCGACAAAAATATGTTAAAGGTATGCCAGTGTACACCAATAGACATTATTTCATTCATACACTTCTTTGTAATACATTTCTGCTTGCTACCAATTGTGCAAATTATGTAAAAGATGCGTTTGCATTACGTACATTATAGATGTAGTACAACTTAATATTGAAATATTATTATCATCTTTTTGTAGTGGGTCTAAGGCCTTTTTACGAAATATACTGAATGAAACAAAGTGCAGAATATGTTTACTATGCACTTTTTTAAAAAGAAAACTGCCAAAGCTTAATATTCCACTCGTCAGCGGAAAGAATTTACGGCTATTTTGAAACGTTGTACTCTAAGCATCATCAACCTGTGAAGGTCCGGGTTAGAATATTGATCTTCAGTAACCCATGTTCGTCGTATGAGGCGACTAACGGGATCGGTTGTCAGGCTCGCTGACTTGGTTGACACATGTCATCGGTTCCCAATTGCGCAGATCGATGCTCATGCTGTTGATCACTGGATTGTCTGGGCCAGACTCGATTATTTACAGACCGCCGCCATATAGCCAGAATATTGCTGAATGCGGCGTAAAACTAAACTCATTCACTCACTCTAAGCATCATCACATTCCAGGGTAGTCCAGCATTGTCTCTGGCAAATGTTTTGACGAATATGGTCTTAATGGGATAAAGCACCTGTACTGTTTCTCTCCATAAATGTTGTATTGACAGTCAGTGTCGTGTATTATCCCAACGCCAGAGTTTTGCAAATCGTTTGCTGCCATTTAGGTCCTTTATTTGGTTTGAATTGGGTACGAAAAGGCTACACCTCTCTTCTGTTGTGTTTGCCTCCGAAATCGGAGCCCGCGTTAAGGCTGTGATTTGGCCATCGTGTAATCGTTCTCCGACAGTATGGATCGTTGGTTGTCGGTGATTAAGGTTTTCAGTGATGTATTTGCATGGTCAGGTGTCGATAATGGCGGAAATATTGAAAGCTGCAATGTTACACAATATTTACTTACTCATGCGTATGTGTCAATACTTTCAGGTTTATCATATCAGGACAACGACTCAGGGACAGCGTGCTGAACAACAGTGCCGGTATTTTCAACTTCCAGGAGCAATACAAGCTGTCAAAACAGCAGGTACGTTACTCTTCCATTCGTGACTATCTGATCCTACCGGGTACCCATTCACTGCTATATTGGTATATTGCGATCGGACTGTCTTGCTTCAGGAGTACCCACATATTTCCTTTGTTTCTTTTATGACCAGAAAAGATTAAAATTTATTAAAACTCGTATACAAAATCTGCTTGTGTTTAATTTCACAGTCATCGTTTTTGAAAAGCCAGATGGGTCTATGGTGTTTCGTTTTCAATATAGATTTTATACTCTAGGCTTCCTGTTACATAAAGTATTGCATGTATATAGTTTTTGGAGGGAACTATCAGCTCATTATGGCCTTTGGTCCAATGTGGGTTGCTGCAAGCACACCTACTCAATATTTAGCTAGCATGGTCAAGTAGATGAAGCGTCTGACCATTACGGTATGTGGTTCTATGTCCTTGTCGCGTTATACAATAATACCTTGAAATATGTGTTTCATGGTACCCCCTACCTGGCGCTCACCATTAGGGCATAACACAAGACCTGGTTGACTCAGTCAGCATACTGTTTCGGTGTGGGAGAATATAGCCGGCATCAGTACTGACTATCAGAAGCTACCATACACAATAATCCATCACGTCAACATATTTTAGAATAGGTCATGGCAGTATTATTAGTAGGTCGTATTAAATCGTGAATGAATGATGTTTTGTTAATGCTTTACTTAATCTGAGCGTTGGTCGCCACAGGCTCTGAGCGTGAGTGACCACTTCCCTATCGAGCTGGAGATGCAGGAGACGGTAGCCGTCGGTGTGGGAGCTAACGCCAGCTTCAACATGGCTGTAGTTGTGCTCTCTACTCTGTTTGTTGCCAAGCTGTGCCTGTGTTGATAAAACAGATTCAGACATGGCCTATCCTCCCTATCCTCATCACTGATACAGATAATGATGGAAGTTGATGCTGTTGGAGATTTGAGAGCACTTCTGATGGATTCTATTTCGCACCAGGATTGTTAAATGTGAATTATCTTCTTGTGGCAGTGGAAGAGAATTGTGGCCGAGTATGCGCAGTGGCACAATGTTGGCTGGACTATCGCCCATGCTATTAATCACTGGCTTGTCACACCCAGACTATGCCGTGCTCTCCTCTGATTGTGCAGTCTGCGATACACGAAAGCACATGCAAGAAAGTACCACTCCATTAACTAAACTGCTACTGATATATAACAGGTGATACTGATGTTTTCTCAGGTACTTGCATACTAACAATGTGATATACCCTAATCAAAAGTACTAACAATGCACCATATATGTTCATGATTAGCTAGTCGATCGGTACACATGGGTTTTACAACACACATCATTCCAAATGTGTGGGTTCTTTAAATTGTTTCAGTTGTACATTAGTACACTGGTTTTTGGATAAATCAATTAGATTGGGTAATCTCAATTAATTCCATGAAACCTATCATCAACAATCATAATCTTTATAAGATGATATTTTCTTTTAGCCCCTCCGATTAGAACATAAATTGTTACTATTTCACGTCTGTGAGTGCGAATTTCACATCATGGTCAAGACTATCTGCTGTTCAGGACTATCTGCTGGTCAAGACTATCTGCTGGTCAGGACTATCTGCTGGTCAGGACTATCTGCTGGTCAGGACTATCTGCTGGTCAAGACTATCTGTTGGTCAGGACTATCTGCTGGTCAGGACTATCTGCTGGTCAGGACTATCTGCTGGTCAAGACTATCTGTTAGTCAAGACTATCTGCTGGTCAGGACTATCTGCTGGTCAAGACTATCTGCTGGTCAGGACTATCTGCTGGTCAAGACTATCTGCTGGTCAAGACTATCTGCTGGTCAAGACTATCTGCTGGTCAGGACTATCTGCTGGTCAAGACTATCTGTTGGTCAAGACTATCTGCTGGTCAAGACTATCTGCTGGTCAGGACTTTCACGAAGCAACCTTTACTAAGGTTAACCTTAACTCCCATTCTTTAACATTGCACTAAGGTTACCTTAGTGACTTACGATCACCTTAGTGCTTTGTGAAAGGAGGCCCTGGTCAAGACTATCTGCTGGTCAGGATTTTATTTTAGTATGTTAGTATGTATGTTGCCCAAAGTTTGTGATGAATTATCTGAGACTGAACAGATCAGGGCAATATTGTCTCAATATATAAGAAGGGGGCGGCACACTACACTTGACAGTTCGCTAACCAGCTCACGATGAAGATAAAAGAAAGGTACTTCCAGCTTCTGCCTCGCTCAGATGTACATATACTATTCTATGGCACACATATACCCCTTAGAATTGATACCCAATAACTAACTTACTAAGAAACTAACTAACTAACTAACATGACCAGGCGGACATGCTCGGTGACTTAATTAATCAAATGGGTGTCATCGTACCTGGTGACGTTGAACGTTTGCTAATAATTATAATAACTTGTTTATCTGGTCTATGCTCGATTATTTCCAGGTTGTCACGTAGGTGGGACATGGCTGAGTGCGGCTTGTTATAGTTTGACGAAATGCGCACGACACAGTCCTTCTTATGATGAGAGATATATTTATGTGTTTAGATTATAAGAATCATTGAGATATGTGTATATCGATTTCATGTTTTATATCATCAAGGAGAAATTATATATTTTGATTCACTTTTGTCGTTAATATTTTCTCTCCACGATTTGGATGTATTTGTGTAAAATAAACTTTTGAACTGCAAGCTGTTTTGTCTTTGAATAGGAATATCTTACTTAGAGTCGAATTACTGGACAGAAGAGGCCCCCAGCATCTCGTGATGTTTGCAAAGGCCGAATGACGATCGTAGGATCACATATTATTTGCACCTCTGACCCTTGATCCGCTCATGTGCTCCTGGCATAATCAAACTTCTCCATTTTCATTTAAATTAAAGGGACAAAGACATTCGAAAACCATACATACTAAACAGATATAAAGTTTGACATTCAGACCAACAATTCAAGAGATGCCTTCAAGGCTAGAAATGTATACCTAAGACGAACATGGCCCTTCACGCATAAACATCTGCGTTAAATTTAATTAAATTAAATTGAATAAACTATTGTTTATTCCATTTGGCGCCCCACGGAGTTTAGTAAGATGCTCCTCACTGCGCCCAGCTGGCTTTAATGAACACTTTATGGGCACACGTGTCACGGGCTTCACTTGCGATCAGCTGATTAAACATTAAAACAGTTTGACCAGCACATCACTAAGTAATATCTGACATAGTCCAGAAAATGTATCATTTTGTGTGTACACCTCAGAATAAACATTTTTAATTGTGACCTCTGTGTTGCATACTGTCTCCCAGAAAGTTAGTTGCAATATCTATGTCAAGCCGAGGCGATACTTGAAAAGAAATCGTGTGACAATTCATAGGGTTAAACTGGAATGTATTTCTGTGTGTTTAGAAAGTAATTATTATAATCATAAAATGGTCTAAACCGAGTTTCACGTACAGTATGTATCCATGACTACAACAACAGTTGGTGTAGGCCAAGGAGGTAAAGAAAACCACACACAACCAGAAAGTCAGTGATACTATGGCGAGAGACTCAGTGTTTGAGAACTATTAAAAAATAGATGTTCATGTTCTAGATGATGCAAACCCAATATTTCTGATTCGTAAAGAACGGGGTCGAATGTACCCGATTTGAACAGCTAAACGTGTAGTTTCTTTCATAAACGCTGTATTCCAGGACCGACAGTGAATTTTCATTCTGTTAGAGACTATTTTCTAGAGATCAATAATTAAATAAGTTCCACAATTAGTGAAAAGTCTTTTTATGTTTAATTATATTTTTTTCGCCTGTCTGGTCTCTCGCTTGTATGTGAGAAAGACATAACAAAGTACGGCTGCTCTTTTGCAGTTAATAATCCACAAGATGGTTGGATAAGAAATGTCAGGCAAATACTTTAATATTGTATACCCTATCCATTTTATGACGCACGACATATTTTTGAAGACCATTAAAGTAAATGAAATCCACATTTTTAAGTACCTCGGAGTAAGTAGTATACCGGCTAGTGGTTCATCTGTTACAGTTTATTTGTTTATATAACCGAAACATAGTATACTGTACCACTGGCTGGTTCCTTGTGTGGAATAAAGGGATGGCTTGTTTTGATGTCATGCTTTAAGTCATGTATGTTGTTGGTGTGTGTTTCTATTGGAGTGAGTTTAGTTTCACGCCGCTTTTAGCAATATTTCGAACCCGGGTCTTCGGCGTGACGAGCGGACGCTTTAACCACTAGGCTACCCCACCGCCCTCTATTGGAGTGAAACCCATCCCCTTAACATATGCTGGTTCAGTGATGGCTAAATGTGTAAGGAATCTCGTTGCAAAGTATTCGCTAATTACCAATAAACTTTCTAGGAAGATGAAAGATGTACACAATTTGATACTTACAAGACACCATCACGGTCAAACATTTCTAAAATATTGTTTTACAATGATACTATTTTGAAGAGAGAGAGGGCGAGTCTAATAGCTAACGAGAGCGTTATAAACAGAGATAACAGTCTGACCAATTAATGAAGTGATGTCAATTGTCATTTCTCAGCATGATGTCTGCAACTGATATTAAAGAGTACTTCAATAGCCGTCATATGCATTGATATTCATTAGTTATCCAACGTGTTCGAGTTGAGGTAGGTCACAATTGACAACTTCTCACAATACAGGCTATATTTTAGTGTTCTGAGTCAGAATATTGAATAATTATATTACAATGTCAAATATCTGCAACTGTACTGATTTGAGCACCCACTTAGTGGTTGGATTGATCGCTGTATAAATTATTATTTATTATTATTATTATTATTATCAATGGTTCTGTGTGCAATGTCAAGGTCTCCCATACTGGTTTGATATGAGGTGTGGTGAGGTGAGAAAGATCGTTTCTGTCTCCGTTCAGGAGCGTGTGGTGTACAGCAATAGCAAGCAAGATGTGATGGTTGTGCAGAGTGAGTGAGTGAGTTTGATTTTACGCCGCTTTTAGCAATATTCCAGCAATATCACGGCGGGGGACACCAGAAATGTGGTTGTGCTGAAGTAAATGTGGATACAGAAACAAAATGAAGATGTTTACGATTATAGGAGCGATTTGTGTTGAAATATGTTGTACAATTTACAATTAACATCGTGAGTTTTGTAAAATACTAAATAAGACTTGTTATCAACATTATTTTGCATGATAAAGAACACAAATATTGCGATATCGAAACTTTTCTGAGCGTGTTAGAGTTTTAGGTATAAAGCCGTTTTGAACTCTCCTCGAATTATATGGCGATAGCCCGAAGTCATGCAAGCCGTAGACGTTTACCACTTTCGTCAACCGGGATTCGAACCTACAGCCATAGGTTTATGTGTGCCCAAGGGAAGCAACTCTGCACAGCTAATTGCAACACCGCAGACAACTGGGCCATCCGTGCCACAAAACCTTTCAGAACAGATGTCTGACAGAAAATATTATATATACAAACCATTTCACCTTGTGGATAGGGGCCAAGCATAAAGTGTTCGCTCGTCACGCCTTAGAGCTGGGTTCGATCCTCAAATGAACACAATGTGTGAAACCCGGTTCTGATGCCATCCTCCTTGACATTGCTGGAATAGTGCTGAAAGCGGCGTACTCCTTCATTCGTGGGTAGATCTGTTGATAACCTCAATAATCAGTCTGATAATCATATCTCGGAAGAAGTTGTCTCAAGTAATGAAAAATGGCCCCGGTACACTGCTATATATAACATATATGCATTATTTGATGTAAGTTGTGTAAATAGCTGCTGTCATGTCGGCGACGTACCTGAACACCATGAGGAGGAACCGTCACGGTCCCCGGGTAACACCGCCAGCAACTGACCTGACACGGTGGCGTCTGATGGGGGAGGGGAGTCGTCATGTGTGGGTGTACGTCGACGAGGAGCCAGACAGACCCCAGACATTCATAGAGAGGAACGCTGTTGGATTGGATACGGTCAGTATGGTAGCCATGACCACACGCTCACAGATAGGAAGGTGTTTAGCCCAGAAACAGTCATATATGGAGGGACCCTGGGGCAATGCGCGTCAGTTTACTGGCCATGACAACGTTTTGGGCCTAAATACTCTAGAGAGGAACCATTTTGGTACAGATACACTCGCATTGAGCTGATCCCTGGTAGAATGTGCATCGCCAGTATGCCGACCTTGACCCAAACATTCCTATTTAGTTAGCAACCCATGCGTAAATACTCATACATATCGGGCAACGCTGGAATGGCATTCGGTGACGTAGTCAGAGGGAATAACGCTGACAGGACAGACACGGTGGAATAATATCATGTTACATAGGGCTTTTATTATATTCCTGATACTTACCCAGTTTAAATTCCTTTAAAAAACCATGGCATTAGAGACGTCTTAAGACAATAAGGTGTTTAGGTTGCATTTCGCCATGCCCAAAACTTTGCTAATCAGCTCAGGTTTTGTGTTTTTCTGCTCCCGACTGAACATGTACGAAGCTGAATATTGGTGATTGTGGCTGCAGACCATTCCCGAAGTCACGTGTCGTGGCCTTTGTTATGTCCTATTAGTTTCCTTTTGCCAGTTGAGGAACCAGGTGTAAGACCCTATTCTGCGTCACACTGACAAAAGGCACAAATCACTTTCCACATCCATAAGTCATGACTCCCACAGCAGAGTAACTTGTTACCATTCAGTCTTTATCAGGAACATGTAGTTCAATACCATATACTGATAATACTAGATGTTCCAGAACAAATGTGAGCATATTCTGCCCCACCGGGGGCATCCGTCACAAACACATGAAGGCAAGTCAACTGTTTATCTGAAGAAAAACGACAAGTCAAAATAAGAAATTGCATTCATTGTAATTAAAACGACACAATAACGTCGACGTGTAAACCTACGGGACTTTCATCTGACATATTTTGATACATACGATACCACCAAGATAACTCGCCCATCATACACAACAACAAATTCCTCTCTGCAGACCGAGGATGCTCCTCCGCTTCCCCCAGCCGGCACCGCCAAGGAGGCTGCCTATAACGGCATGAGGTTCTACGCTGGGTTACAGGCCGATGACGGGCACTGGCCTCACGAATACAGCGCGCAGGTGTTTCTTCTTCCAGGTGAGATGAAGCATCAGTATGAAATCACTGTAAGGATTTACACCAAATAACATGCGTATTTCTCTTAACCGATATAAGGAAATATCTTCATGCCTAGAACGTGTGAGCCTGTGATCGAAAACTGTACATATTTCGTGTTTCATTAGATCGAGATAGAGTTAGGATTGTTCTTCATCAACCAAAGCTTTTCGTAGGATGCCACCAACGGTCAGACTCGCTGACATTGTCGACTGTATATCACCGTTTCCACATCGAAGTTCATGAAGCCTCTCAGAGAAGTTTCGGTGGTGGGGTAGCCTAGTGGTTAAAGCGTTCGCTCGTCACGCCGAAGATCCTGGCTCGATTCCCCACATGGGTACATATTGTGACGCCCATTTCTGGTGTCTCCCTACGTGATATTGCTTGAATATTTCTAAAAGCGGCGTAAAACTGTACACGCTCACTCTTTGCCCTCAACGTTTCAGTTTACGTGATCGTCAGCTACATCACCGACGCCCCTGCACCCGACCCGCAAAAGCTGGAGATGATCCGTTACATGAGGTCCGTGCAGTGTCCTGATGGAGGCTGGGGTCTGTAAGTACATAACTTATCGAACTTATATCGAACTTCCTCTCGATTTGGGCCTCTCTTACCTCGAACTGGGACTCCTTATCTCGAACAAGAATCCTCATCTCGGGCAAGGATCTATTTGTCCCGACATGTGTTTTCTGGTCTGTTTTAGCCTCTGTATGACAAGGGATCAGACTGTGTCGCTGTCTTGGGTGTGTTTTCTGGTGTGTTTCAGGCTCGGAATTGCAGTGGATTATGTTGCAGGATGAGTAGGTTGGTGGCGGTTTTTGGCCAGTGACAGCCTTGGGATATCAAGGGATCAGACTGCGTCTTTAGGATGTTTGTGTTTTTTGGTCAGCCTCGGGATAACACAGGAGCAGACTGCTGGTTTCTCTCTACTGTATTAAGCTGTTCTCTGTACCGGCCTCAGATTAACACGAGATGTATCTGTTTCTCTTACAGTCACAAAGCTAGTCCCCCATCTGTGATGGGCTGCACTCTCGGCTATGTATGCCTCAGGCTACTCGGGATTAGCGCCAACGATCCCGATCTTCGTCGAGCAAAGCAGTTGATTCAACAGCTAGGTGAGTGTTTTAATTGTCAGCATATTTGTTTTAACATATATGAATATTTTCATAACATTCTTATCGCATTGGAGCTTGAATCTGGTAAATTGTTTTACTAAGTTACAACAATTCCAAGTACAGACACTCTATGAAAACAGCTTGTTGAATTATTTTCTAAATGTTTGCTAGTACTATGTGGCAACATAAGCGTCGAAACTGAAGAAAGACGCCGTCATAACATAGTGTTAGCAAATATCCCTAGGGAGCAGTATTATTTCATATGACGTGTGTGCGATCCCCAGGAGGTCCTGTGTCTGTCCCGACCTGGGGGAAGGTGCTGCTGTCGGTCCTCAACGTCTACAGCTGGGATGGCGTGCACTCCATGTTTCCAGAGATGTGGTGTGTAGTCACACAAGAAACTGCTGCGGTTGTGTCTTGTCGCGTGTGTTATTGAGGAACGACTCTATTGTGATGCAGTGAGTGAGTGAGTTTAGTTTTATGCCGCACTCAGCAATATTCCGGCTATCTGGCGGCGGTCTGTAAGTAATCGAGTCTGGACCAGACAATCCAGAGATCATGAGCATCGATCTGCGCAATTAGTAACCGATGACATGTGTCAACCAAGCCAGCGAGCCTGACCACCCGATCCCGTTAGTCGCCTCTTACGAAGAGCATGGGTTACTGAGGATCAATTCTAACCCGGACCGTCACGGGTATATTGTGATACAGCGCTGTCGTGATTGAGAGAAGCGGGTTCACTGTCAATCTGATACTAAATGGTTATTTACAGGTGTATGGTAGCTACAAGTCACATTTGAACCCGCTGATGTACATCGGCTTGTAGATGTGTTGCATGAGTACGTGACACTTTTTGCGGATAACATTACTTTTCTTGTTCTCCGTGCAAAAGCATCACGTTTTCCTGTTGTACAAGCCTCTAATTGCATTTCAAAGACTTCATGACAGCTAAAAATAAAATCAACTTTGAACCTAGTGGTATATATTTCGACTTGTAGCCAAGGTGCATGGCAGCTCACTGCACCGGTTGGTGCATGTCGGGATATAGGTGCATGTCGGGATATAGGTGTATGATAGCTAAAGACTCATTTGACTCCGGTGTTGCATCTTCACTAATGGGTCGAGGATAATCGAAGAAAGGATAACTTGAGCAGGACGTCCTATGTTGTGTATGTTCGCAGATATAAAACATGATATCTGGCAATCTTCTTCTTATGATAGTGGTTAGTAGTAACACAGACTGTAGACTTACTGTTTATATCTGAGAATGATCTATTCCCACCAGGCTGCTGCCTGAGTGGCTGCCCTTCCATCCCTCCAAGATGTGGTGCCACACTCGAATGGTCTACCTGTCGATGGCCTTCCTCTACGGGAAGAGATTTACAACTGCAGAAGATGACCTCATTCGGTCGTTGCGGAAGGTAGGAATAGCACCATCGTGGGAAAGCTCTCGGCTAATTTCAGAATATTTAAGCATAGTTCTAAAATATTAAGGATAGTTATTCAACCCGGGAAATGAGAGCTAATAATTAGTTTCTAGTCATCGCTTTATCTACCTTACTAAACCCAAACCATTGTGAAAAATACCCCTTCTAAATCCGCAACACTTTCCAGGCACAAACAACAATGGCGATGATAAGGAAAGGGATGTGGTTACGGAAGACGATGAAAGAGTGTGTTTGGATGATAATGCTGTTGATGATGACAATGATTGTGATAAAGATGATGATTATAGTCCTATTGCAGGAGCTGTACAGTGAAGACTACAATCGCATCGACTGGAAGAATCACAGGGAGAACGTCAGCCTTGCCGATAAATTTGTTCCCAGATCATGGATTTGTAACCTAACATTTCGTACGTACAGCTAAAGTATAATTGATAATTTGGCAGTTAAAAATTCATTATGTATTCTGTCATCGTGTTTTGCAATCAGATGATAGCCTGATTTAATTATCTTTACTCGATGGTCACATGTAAGATATATATGCTGGCCACATGGTGTCAACAGGAAGTGAACTAATGTAGCCACATGTGACCTTCAATACAGGCTATCAGATTATCCAAATCGATGGAAACTGATTTGTAAATTCTTAATTGATTCAAGAGAAGGTTGTGTCAGACATAATTTGTAATTGAAAAGTACTAGTAATAAATGTTCATGTATGCGAGGAAGCGAAACACCGACAAATGCCATGCCACATTAAAGTAATTCTTCAGTGTTAGGTATAGAGTAGTAGGGTTATAACCAATTGTACTGACATTCCTATCATACCGTCTAATTGTTACTTACAGGTGCCCTGGATTTGTATGAGCTATGCTGTGTTCCGTCTGTCAGAGAGACAGCTGTACAGACCTGCTACAATCATATCTGTGCTGATGACGACGCCACGAGCTTCACAGGCCTGGGCCCGGTTTGTGGAGAACTTACTCTATATATCTAAATCACCACATTGTCACGGTACCACACCGTTAGACTACCGCACAGTCACGCCAATGTACTGTCACGCTATCTCACTACGCTAATCTGACACACTATCATGCTAATTGTTACCACACTCACACTGTCACATTATCACACCGTCGCATTACCACACTGTCACGATACCACACCCACACTGCCACATGCACGTGTCCACAAGGTCACACTACCACACTGTCACGTTATCACACGGTCACACTACAACACTATCACGTTATCATACCACACCCACACTGCCACATTCACGTGTCAACACGGTCACACTACCACATTCATGTATCCACACAGTCACACTACAACACAGCCACACCACCACACTGTCACGTTATCACACGGTCACACTATGACGTTATCACCGTCACACTATAACGCTGTCACGATACCGCACCCACACTGCTACATTCATGTATCAACACGTTCCCACTACCACACTGTCACGTTATCACACCGTCACACTACAACAATGTCGCACTACCACGCGGTGGGCGAGCTGGCTAAAGCGCCAGGCTACTGATCCAACGAGCTTGAGGTGCCGGGATCGAGCCCATTTGTGACCGGGTGTAATAACCTTGGAGTCAACTTTGTGTGCAGACTCTTTCAGTGTTGTCACAACCCCTAGTGTACAGTACACAACCTTGTGCACTTAAAAAAGAACCCACAAATCCGTTGGTATATGACCAGATGGTGGCAACATGTATAGTGCAAACACCTGGTTGCGGGTACAGCAACGTGCAGTAATACTTTGACACGGTACTGTGATTATGTGTCCCGGTCCACCCAGCTGTGAATAGGTACCTCGTAAGGATGAGAAAGCCGTAAAACTCGGTGTGCCTTGTGGCTGCAAGAGTTGTATGATCCCTGGGGAGTTGAGATTGATAATACGATGTGCCGTTGAGACTGACATCCAGTGATCGAGGGAAATACCAGCGCCTTGAGCATGTACTAAAGTACTGTCGGAATTGCTAGAAAAATGCTTTTTAGCCTTAATATCTTTATAAAGGTGATACATTTACTATGTTGTCAATATATCAACTCGTCTATTGTCTACCTAATTTTTATTTCAACCGATTTAACATTCCCATTTATTTAAAGGGCAGTTTACAGGAGAGAATTTGGTACCAAAACAGCAACTTAAGATTTTTTCAGAGTTCAACAACAGAAATCTGAAATAGTCTTTACATTTATGCTAATAATACAGGTGGTGTAAAAATATGAATTAACGTTTTTCTTAAACAAATAAATGTTGAATGTTTGTGTTACTTTACTTAATTATCGTTTCTTTATTGAAGAAATATTAATATAAATGTTAAGTCTTGATAAAAAGGTTTCCCGTCATGCATGCACATCTTTATCACAGCGTCCACTATGGCCAACGATTTGCAGTCAATTGTTGTAAAGGTTTATAGTTTTTTTCTGCTTAAAAAAGACAGAGGTAAACCTTTCATTAGTTTAGAAAGGGTTTATTACAGAACTTGTAGAGCTGTTGGCATGTCTTACCAACAAGTTTACAATATTGTAAACAAATCAGACAAGTGAGGGACCGTCTCAAATGCAAAACCGGGACGTAAAACCATCCTTGACAACTTTGACAAGGGAGTACTTAGACGGGCGGTCTACAAACTTTATGAGAAGAAAAATATATATATTCTAAAGAAGCTACACCAGTGACTTCGTTAAATCTTTGGCCAATGTTCACAACTAGATGAAACTGACCGAATTATATCCATATTTTTTCAATGAAATATACTGTTGACATGCAAAACATTTATTAAAACGTTGCACATTTCTACAATCAATCGATAAGATAACACAAGTGATAGGAGTCTTTCCAGTGTACAGTAATTCGTATGTTTATTTCAAAACAAATACACATACACAACTGATCCCTTACATAACCGATACGTATACTATACGTACACATATTCAACATTTTGCAGAAAACATATATTGAGATGACCCCTCGCCCGAGCGTGTGCTCAGGTGTCAATTTCACCTGTCGATACCGTGCATGCTTATGACGTAACACAGGCAGTTAATGTTTGTATCAAATAACGTCCACACTGTCACACAACCACACTGTCACGTTATCACACTCACACTACCACATACACGTATCCACAATGTCACACTTCAACACAGTCACACTACCACACTGTCACGTTATCACACCGTCACACTACCACACTGTCACACTACCACACTGTCACGTTATCACACCGTCACACTACCACACTGTCATATACAACAAAATCACACTACAAGAATGTAACACTACGACACTGTCACGCTACCACACTGTCAGACTACAACATTGTCACGCTACAATTGTCAGTAAAACACTGTCGCACTACCAGACTGTCACACCACGACACTGTCACACTACACACTACAACACTGTCACACTACAAATGTCACACTACCACACTGTCACACTTCCACACTACAACACTCTCAGGCTACCACACTGTCACACTACAACATTGTCACGCTACAATTGTCAGTAAAACACTGTCACACTACAACACTGTCACACTACCACACTGTCACACTACCCGTATGTCAGGCTACCACACTGTCACACTACCACACTGTCACACTACCCGTATGTCAGGCTACCACACTGTCACACTACCACACTGTCACACTACCCGTATGTCAGGCTACCACATTGTCAGGCTACCACACTGTCAGACTACAACACTGTCACACCTCCACACTGTCACACTACTACACTGCAACGAATTAATATCGCCGCCATATGACAATGTGCTTTTATTGTACATATATGTTTGAAAACACATTAGTGAGAGGCCATCGCCAGCACAACTGCCCAACCCTTCATCTCCTGTGATTGTGACAGGTGAACAAGCTGCTGCATATGTTGATACGCTGGATGGAGGAAGGCAGCCAGTCTGATGCCTTCAAGAAGCATCGCGACAGAGTTCGGGATTACCTGTGGTTGGTAGTTACATTACAAATGTTATTCTTCACATCTCAAAACGTCCTCCAAACTTGATGATTGGGGGCGGTGGGGTAGCCTAGTGGTTAAAACGTTCACTCGTAACAGCCAAGACCCGGGTTTGTTTCCCCACATGGGTACGATATGTGAAGCAAATTCCTGGTGTACCCAACCGTGATATTGCTGGAATATTGCTTAAGCTGGGTAAAGCTACATTCACTTACTGAGGACCAGGTGTTGAACTGGTCCCCAAGAAGTTTCTAGTTGTTCATACCCGCTCAGCTACCCCATCTCATCTAGTTGTGACAAATGTTGGTGACCCCCGGTGTGTCATCCTTTGTTACCATCGCTTACCCCCATCCCAATCCCCATCAACACCCCATCCTCTCCTGCTATAAATGAAGGGACCTAGACGTGTTCGGATCGTCAGGATTGCCCACTTGTCGATGCACACCATGGTATCCAAGCTGCGTGGATAGGTGTTCATCATGTCAGTCACTGGATTGTCTGGTCGAGACTCGTTCTAACGGACCACCTCCACATAGTTGAAATATTGCTGATTGCGTTAAACAACATACACACGAACAAATCAAAGCGCCCTTACCAAACTCTTCATTTTATTCTTCAGGTTTTCAAATATTGCAAACATATTGTTAAATTCCGTCCCCGAACCCTTCGAAAAAACATTAACATAATAGTTTTAGAGCAATACAAAATATCGTATCTAAAATCATAGATTCCACACCTGAGATCTTGTGAAGCCTTGAACACTGCTTGTTACAATTTGAAATACCATGGTGATCATATACTACCATCATCCAACAGGTTGGGCCGAGATGGTATGAAGCTCCAGGACTACAATGGATCACACATATGGGATACTGCACTCGCTGTTCTAGCTTTCAATGAGGTGGGTGATGACACAGATATAACAGTTTCTCAGCCAGTATAACGTGTAAGGGAAGTGGACATACTTTATGGATACAGGTTCTCAGAACTCTGGTTTAATTATGCCTAAGGTGCTTGTGGGGACTGTTCACTTATGGTAAGATGTACTAATAGGCGGATTCATAGGTGGGGCACAGGGGTGCGCACCACGCCCCTTTTCCTTATTTCTCAAGAGTGTGCGCCCCCGGATTATCTTGTAATTGTGTAATGCGTATTGATCACTGAGGCTTTGCTTCATCCTAGTATTTCCTGAAGCTACCAGCATATCACTGTTTGAGTACTATGAACCTCGTCACATGAATAACGATCACCTCATTTACTGTTAGGGTTCCATGCTACTGAACTTTCTTTTGGCAGTTCCAGAAATGGTTGAAGTTTACCTAGATTACCAGGTCTTTGTTCAAACATACATGTAACTACACCTAGGAATACCCTTCCCATATCATTCTATACATGTGTCCAGGCGGACGGCGTGGGTCAAGGTTTCAAGTCCTGCCTACAGAAGGCCCACTCGTTCCTCAGGGACTCCCAGATACAGCACAACGTCGACAATTTCAGGGACCACTACCGCCAGGAGAGTAAGGTATAGTTGTAGTCCTCCACACAGGCACACTGGGAAATACTGCACTGTTGGTGGGCGGGTTGGTTGGCACTTCACGAACACCGGGTGTCATGTCTCTGCAGTAATATTTGAACAGCAGAGATAGTATCAAATAATGTGGAACGGTAGTTGGAGGTGGTTGAACACCGGGTGTCATGGCTCTGCAGTAGTCATTGGGCAACGGAAATAGTATCAAATATTGTGTAACACAGTAGTAGGAGTTGGTTGAACACCGGGTGCCATGGTTCTGCTGTAGTCATTAGGCAACGGAAATAGTGTCAAATAACGTGTAACGCAGTAGTAGGAGTTGGTTGAACACCGGGTGTCATGGCTCTGCTGTAGTCATTAGGCAACCGGAAATAGTGTCAAATAACGTGTAACGCAGTAGTAGGAGTTGGTTGAACACCGGGTGCCATGGCTCTGCTGTAGTCATTAGGCAACGGAAATAGTGTCAAATAACGTGTAACGCAGTAGTAGGAGATGGTTGGCATTTTATGAACACCGGGTGTCATCATGGTACTGCAGTGGTTCCTGAATACGCGTCGTGACACGTACATACCGTGTGGATCAGACAGTACACTAGGTAAAGTTACCTAACATGTTCGAAATCTAAGTCCCACAAACTAATAGTCGAAGGAAGGGAAGGTTCCATTGTCCACATTATAACAGAGACAACGCTGAAGCGTTGCAGACTTACATTCTATTTAGTGTGTTGGCATAATGGAAAGCAAATTACGTCCACTGTATGTATTTACTTGTTTTAGGAACCACACCATATAATGAAGAGATAATCGTCGCTTCGAACCCACAGATACAATCCATTGTTAATCAACCGCCTGGTGTTTGAAATTAAACATGAATTGTTTTAGTGTCGTATCGTAACATATACATGATATCAGTTACTCCATTAGTGTTTCCTTTGTGATTACAAATTTGTGGCTCAAATACCTTTTATGTACGTTTTGCATTTTCTGTTCAAAATCCTGTCTAACCAACGTTTGACTATCGCCTCATATTCAGGGTGGGTTTCCCTTCTCCACGAGAGAAAATTCCTGGATTGTAAGCGACACAACGGCTGAGAGTCTCTCAGCCATCCTCGTGACACAGGGAGGGCACGTTGTGCTGAGTCAGCCGGTTCCGAGGCACAAGCTTTGTGATGCAGTCGATATGGTATGTAGATTTAGTCATATTAAATAAATTTTATCAGTAATATTGTGTAATAATGCGGTCTTTGTTGTGGCCGTACTTTAAACTAATAATAAATATATGTCACATCACTATATATACAATACTTGTATAATCGTTCTAACACTAAAAGATATGCAAATCATATCATTAACACCTTGTATTGCCTCTATAAAAGAGTAAGTGAGGCTGTTAAATAAATAACATCCAACTTGCTTTAAAAACGTGTACCTTACTCAATTTATAAATTTCGTCGTGAATGACTTGTGTCGTTTGTATTAAGCACTAGTGGTTATCTCCAACTGAAAACCAGGGCCTAGATTTTCAGAAAGCTCTCTTATCCATTAAGGAAATGTACAATGTTGGAATCTTCTTCCTGTGACAGTTACTGGGCATGCGCTGTGCAGATGGAGGCTTCGCCTCTTACGAGACAACAAGAGGACCACCTTGGCTCGAGCTCTTCAACCCATCGGAGATATATGGTAGGTAGCCCGACAGCTGCTGTGCTGATTGAACATTGAGAGATAGTATAGAGAGAGTGAGTATGGTTTACACCGCTTTTTGCAATATTCCATCAATATCACCGGGGGTGGGGTTGGGGGTTGGATGGAACACCAGAAATGGGTTTCACACATTGTACACATGTGGGGAATCGAACCCAGATCTTCGGCGTGACGAGCCAACGCTTTAACCAAAAGGCTACCCCATGGCCCTTATAATGAATGAGAAATTAAGGGTAAACATACATTTGATTATACTGCCACATTATTTGTGTCACAATGTGTCGTTTGATAACTATATAATTACCTTTTTTCGAATAAATATAATGATATCGTTATCATATCTATATACTTGACTTAAAATGATTGTCCCTCGCACATATTCCTTAGGGATCTGTTGACGAGCAAAGCTTCACCATTAGGCTACCCCACCGCCATAACTGTTTCCATTATTTTCACGGCCCCAAAAACTTTAAAAAATATCTCATCATGGTCGCCTTCTGTAGTGAATGAAATTAAAGGATGGATCGAATCAAGAATATATCGAACTCTTCTACTGGAAGGCGGCGGTATTAGATTAACACCTGGTAGAAGCAAGTGTTTCTATAACGAGGCTGTCGTTCAGGAAAGAAGTGACAGACAATATTCCACAAACCATTTGGAGATGTTGTCAGATATCAGATGGCTCTCATTGATGCAAACCGGGGTTGTGGGTTTTAACTGAGCTTAACAAAAAGAGTTGATGTATATCAGTAGAATGGTACGATGAGGTACGTCATGACTTACCCACGTCCACACGGTTTCAGGCAACATCATGGTGGACTACACCTATGTGGAGTGTACCTCGTCTGTCATACAGGCGCTCAAACTCTTCACAGATGAGTATCCGGGTTACAGGGCAGAGGAAATAAGGATGACAATCAAGAATGGATTAGACTTCATCACAAAGGAACAGCGCCCTGATGGCTCCTGGGAAGGGTCGTGGGGGGTCTGTTTCACGTATGCTGGTTGGTTCGCGCTGGAAGCTTTCAGTTGTATGGGAGAGAGGTATTATGGACAATATGCCCCGGAAACTGTGATGAGAGGGTGCGACTTCCTGGTCAGTAAACAGATGGAGGACGGAGGCTGGGGCGAGGACTTTGAGTCATGTGAACAGGGGCAATATGTTCAAAGTGAAAGCTCCTGTATCTTAAATACCTGTTGGGCTCTGCTGGGATTAATGGCGGCCAGGTAAGAGGATTTATTATTGGTTTTGGTTGATCTGTACCTGTGCTCGATAGCACGACAGTGGGCATGAGGTAGAAAGGGTGGATCGGGGAGTGGGGGTGGGTGAAATGGTATCTTGATAATGATAAAACTAAGGACAAGTAAAACATTTATCACATTTAGGAAACAACTGTACAATTCCATCTTTTCTTATTTTATAAATAAAAACACATTGTTGGCAAAATATTCGACAGTCCTAGGATCTGCCAAACCACCCCTACTCAAATTCCCTAGCCCAGGTAGCTCATAAATGATGTGTGCATCAGACATTTGCTCCAACGTTCCCTTGAATAAATGTTTTAATATTTTGCAATGAACCTATTTAGTATTGGCTTCACCCAGCACCCTGTTGTCGTCAGGGCAAGTAAAATGAAGCCCAACTTCAGTTGGTATTCTATATTCTGCTTTCAACTTACAGGTACCCAGATATGAACGTGATGGAAAGGGGGATTCGATCTATCATGTCTCGTCAGCTGAACAACGGAGACTGGCCACAGGTGGGTGCCACCAGCCCCTGGTATTGTGTGTTCAATGGAAGTTGTTTCTGGAACCAGTAACTGTGTACATGGTCTTTGCATACTAGTCGTGATATTGCTGGAATATTGCTAAAAGCGGCTTACAATCATTGCAACCCATCCACTCCAGTATTACTTTAAGATAGCGCTTATTTCCTCTCTAATTCGAAATGGAGATTATATGTTTTCAAAAACATTGCAGGAGGGTGTGAATGGAGCATTTGCAAAGTCTGGCGCCATCTACAGCGACAGCTACCGCAACATCTTCTCCATCTGGACACTGGGACGATTCAGCCGGCTGTATGCAGACAACCCCCTTGCTCAGTGCTCCTGAAGATGTGTGCATTGTGTAGAATAATGTCGCACCGCTTGTATATTCTAATAAACGTTGTATTCAGGGAAAAGTGTGTTTCATACTTAGTACATCAAGGCGTTATTGTATATTTTGCAAAGGGGATAAAGTGCCATTTTTTGGTTTCGATTTCCAGGACGTACAATCATCAAGGAATGTACACTACAGTTACTCTACTCATGTTACAGCAACCCCGAAACAAACACTACTGATGTTACAGCAACCCCGAAACAAACACTACTGATGTTAAGCATATGTTTATCGTGATAAAGGTATAAGCACATTGGCTTTCAAGGTTTCACGATCTGCAACAGACGCAATCCAATTCCATCATCTCTCCTGAGGATTTACCATATTTTTAACAGAAACAGTTGATTTTGTTGTGTAGTTTGTAACCATAGATGAATGATAGATGCAGTGGCCTGAGCCAGCGAATGATAGAGACATAAAACGTTGTCTGGTCCAACTCCTGGCAAGAATATGGCGTCGGTTTTCTTGTATTCCAAGACATCCTAATGGTGCACAACCTCCACAGAATTCAGACCTTCAGTAGCTAATATGCTTATCTGCTCAGGCAACTGCGTGAATACATAAGGCTAAACGTCATGGAAAACTCACTAAAACTAGTCGTGAGCGCAATGAATATTTCCTCATGAACATCATCGGTGTACATCATATTCCTAAGCAGAAGGGAGAACTGTCTCGGATGTATTACGTGTAGGATATAACATGACCCGCGGGAAATGCCTAAGGGTCGGAGGCCCGCGGGCATTTCCCAAGGGAAGAGGGCTTACTTTTCAATAATGCCCACGGGTCATGTTATTTCCAACTTATAGACCGACCAATATTTGGTATTTACTGTTGAAATCTACTGGGATGAGACTGGCAGTCGACGCCTCGCAACGCACGTGCGCTGCCTACACTACCCGTCTTGTGACCAACACACGGTTCATACCGACAAACAGTCTCAATCTTCACAGCGATCCTTCGTAGCCTAGTGGACAAAACCGCCAAGCTACTAAGCGAAGGGTTTCGGGTTCGAAACCGGGTGTCGGCACTACATGTTGGAAATTGTCAATAATGTCATATTTTAAGATCGCATTCAGTGATGGCAAGACGAAGTCGTATCAAAACCAGTAATAATTCAAATTCAAGGGCTATTCCTCAGAAAAGAGGGACGTTATTAAGACAATGCCCGGGGCACAGGGACGTTATTAAGATAATTGCACGGGACAGAGGGACATTATTAAGATAATTACCCGAGGAAGCGAGCTTGTATCAGATGTGAGGGCTATTACGAGAAAAAGTGTCCCCTTAGAACAATAGAGTGGACGTCATATCTGCAATGGAGGACTTATCACACTACCAAGAGGAAGCCTTCTACCCAAGAACAATCTTGATTCAACCTCGACTCGATTATGTTGAAAATAGAGCCTGAAATCTGCTTTAACCTTCCTGTTGCGGAGTGGTTCCAGAACATTGGATCATGATGCTGACCACAAACGTGTATAGTCAGCTGACAGCTGTGTTTGTGATGAGTGAAATGGAAATATACATGAACTGATGTCAAAACTAATGGCCAACATTTCCGTGAGTACACGCCGTAATCAGCGCAGATGAGTAACATTTGTACAGTATTAGGACACGATGTGTTCGCCTTCTAAGAGGAAGAGCAACCTGAAATACTACTTCTCAGGATGAGTAGGCCCGGGGAAGGATGAGGACTTTGATCTGGGGTAGTGAGTGATTGTAATAGTCCAGCAATAATTCAGGAGAGGAAAGCACTCGTGATGTTAATCGAACGTAAGCCCGCCAACCAACCCTTCTCCCTTGATCATGCCGGGATCAGAAGAAGAAGACTTCTCAGCAGCGCAATAAAACATCTCAGTTGTGTCCACAACCTCCAAACTCCCACATAGAAATAATGTCGACCACTGACTCTATTCCATGACAAAAGCATTTTGTGTTCGATTTTTTCATATCTCGCGACATGTTTTGCCTCTATCATCTAACGCCGTTTCTGATTTGTTGGCCCAATAACAATTTCTACAATGGAATACTGGTACAATACCACACGGAGAACTATTATAAATCATATTACCCAATACTGCACACAATGTATCCGTTAGTTCCTTGTCACGGGTATACACGGGTATATATGTGTTGTAGATGACGTGCATCTCTGTGTGTGCCATGGTCGGTGTTACGGCAAGAGTCAGTGAGTGGCGTGTGATATTTTCATTCAGGATTTGAAAAGAAATATTTGAAGATATTCTAGAACGAGAACTTAACAATTGTATATAATAGGAACCAACGTACTATGGCGTTCTTCGCCGTTGCCTTTGCAACTGTGATCGGTCTTCAGTTCGCGCAAGGTAAGACTGACTGACTGACTGACTGAGTATGGTTTTACGCCGCTTTTAGCAATATTCCAGCAACATCACGGCGGGGGACACCAGAAATGGGCTTCACACATTGTGCCCATGTGGGGATTCGAACCCGGGTCTTTGGCGTGACGAGCCAACGCTTTAACCATTAGGCTACCCCACCGCCCCCCGCAAGGTAAGAACTTCGGTGTTCAGAAAGGCCTCGATGGCCTTTTACAATTATATGTGTGTGCCAATCACAGTTGTTCCGAAGTGTTATAGTTCAGTATCAGGATTTTCCAAACTCAGTATAGTCCTGGAAATAAAAAGATGGCATTAAATTTTCTACGACTTTTCGAGTCATCACTGACCTCATTAACACCTTGTGTCATAATCAAGGCGGGGAACACCAGAAATGGGATTCACACATTGTACTCATGTGGGGAATGAAACCCGGGTCTTCGGAGTAACCACTAGGCTACCCCACCGCCCCTGGTCATCCATGAGTCATGTCAACCATTATACCACTGTTTCACTATAGACTCATACCTGCATCATTATAGGGGGAGTCAACACTTATGTCATGACATATTCATGAGAGCCTGCCACGTATAACAGAGAAATAACATCATATGTTTACATGGGGACCCCGCGAAATCTATGATCTGAACCTGTATTTCGATAGTGAATGTTGACATTTTGACAAGTTTGGCATGGATAAAACAAAGTTAATATTTTTACAAGCTTGCATGTCAGTGATGTCAGTGCACATCAGTGTTGTTATTGCCCCTATGCGTCATGCAACACATATCCCGTTATCCACAAAATAGCATGTAAACACGAAATCACAGAGGAGTGGGAATGTTGCTCAACATGAAGGGAACGACGACTACCGGGAAGTCGAAATCATCCCTTTTGACATACAGTTTTTGTCGCCCTGAAACTGTATGCAACGATCTAGATAAGAAACATATGAGGCGATGTCACTTGTCACTTTTATTCCAAGTTAAAGTGAGTAAATCAGGGGAAGGGAATTGGCAATTTGATAGATCACCGAGATCATTGATACACCTGAAGTTTCAGTCAAATTACCTTGTATTGAATTATCTAACCAGAGCAGAACTTCTGATTCATGTGCACATGAAACATGAAGGGAAGCAACGGCAGAGGGGATGCCAACGTTTTGTCTTCATGTTAAGCACCAATGATGGTCCCATCATCAACCTTATTCATGTATTGTAGTTCTAAGCTTGAGGACCTGGCAACTGTGCAACAAGCGTATTGTAGTTTGGAAGGTTGGGTTTTTCTGTACTACCAAATTTCCTCTCAGCACGTTTATGTAAACATAATTATAATTCTGTTTTACTGATCTACTAGCCACATCGACAACAGTAACGGTTACAACAGCAATCATGTCAGAGGCAGCAAGTTTAACCACATCACCGGCTACAACGACTATGGCGTCAGATACGTCTACATCAACAACTAGAACTACAATTACAGCGACATCAACATCGGAGAGTCCGACATCACTCTCTTCATCATCTTCACCAAATGCAAACACAGGTTTGTAGACACATGTATAATCCTGGGTTTGGGGATCACCTACTTATCACTTGTAGCCTACTTTAGATGTCATGAATATATTTTCGGAAATGTGGTCAGAACTGCAGTATCAGATACATTGGGGTATGGGGTATCCTGAAGAAAAAGCGGTTCCCAGTCCATTATTGTTGAAACATACTGAGTTTCTTGTATGTGTTTTGTTTACCATTACCCTTTTCTCTCTGTCAACACCAGTACGTACGATGTCGCTTCCCCCAGCAACCTCACCATTGGTCATAATGGCAGCATCACCCACAGCCTCAGGTACGTCTACACCACCATTAACAACAACAACAATAACAACAACAATAACAACAACAACAATAACAACAACAACATCAACAACAACAACTACAACGACCACAAGTCCGATACCACACTCTTCATTATCTTCCCCAATTCCAAGCAGTCCAAACCAAGAGAGCACCGGTATGTAGACAAATATCATGATATGGATATAGAATCCTTGGTTTTTCAATTGCTGACATATGTGAACCCACGCTCGATGTCAAGAAATCAAATTATGGGCGAATGTTTTTCAGAACTACAACATGTAATACACATATTACTGACTGACGGAGTTTGGTTTTACGCCGCTTTTAGCAATATTCCAGCAACATCACGGCGGGGGACATCAGAAATGGGCTTCACACATTGTACTCATGTGGGGATTCGAACCCGGGTCTTCGGCGTGACGAGCCAACGCTTTGACCACTAGGCTACCCCACCGCCGCCCTAATACACATATCAGGTTCTGACCATGGACTAACCAACTTGTTTCAAAGTCAGTCAGGCCGAAAGCCGGAGGCTGTTAAGAGCAACTTGAAGTCTATACTGGCTATCCGTCGCCAAGGTATGGTTGTAACGGAGTGAATACCATTCGTCTTTTTCATCTTCGATTATTATTAAAACTGTCACTTTCGTCAAAATTAGTGCTAACAACGACCCCATCACCGGAAAAAAACACACCACCGACTGCATTATCCACCACAAAAACGGCTGCACCACCAA